TACACAAGTCACTGAACCGTAATCTGAGTAGGGCAATTGAGCCTCCATGCACGTTTTTTAGGAGGGTCGTTAGTTGTGAGGAAATCAAACTGATGTTAGATGGGGTGGCGGAGTTAAAGGACAGTTGTTAATTAATCACAAGTTAATTAATTTTCTATTAACTAATCTAAGTAATTAAACATTCATACACCTATTACCAAAAAAAACATTCATACACCAACTTAAATAAATATTAACACTAATTGCTAATTTCTATTAACTAATTAAGTAATTTTTTATTGATTAATTAATTAACATATTAAATTAAATGCAAAAATCGGTCGGGCCGAAAAAAACCTGCGGCAGGTGCGTCGCCGGGCCGAAAATTATTTGCGACTGGTGCGCCGCCTGGCCGAAAATTTTTTTTGGGCGGTGCGCCGCCGAGACGAAAATATTTTGCGGCCGATGCGACACCTAGCCGAAAAACTCTTTCGGCCGGCCGACGAACACGCCGCCGGAAAAATTTTGGCAGGCGTGTTCGGCGGCCGGCCAAAAAAATTTTGCGGCCGAGGCGCCGCCGGGCCGAAAGAAATTTTCGGCTGGGCGTCGCACCGACCGCAAAATTTTTTCGGCTCGGCGACGTTCCAGCCGTAATTTGTTTTCGGCCCACCGTGTTTTTCTCCGGAAAACTGGAAAACTTGCCGGAAAAAGTAAACTTACTTGTTTTCCGACAATTGAGGGCGACAGGAGGTTGGCTGGCGACGGAGGAACGGTGCCGACGACGGAGGCACTGGGCTCGTCAACAGAAGTTTTTGTTGGAATGAGTCAAATGTTAATGGTATCCGAATTTATAGAATGCTTGGAAGGGAAAATTCAAAATTTGAATTCAAAATTTGAAGTCAAATTTTTTTTTTTTAGTTGGCGGCAAATAGCCGTTCACTATATATATGGTGGCTATTTTGGTGCACTCACTTTTTTGGGTGCATTCAATGCACCCAACTCTAAAAGTGGTCTTAATCCATCAATTTTTGAACTTTAATTGGTAGTATTAGTACTCTAAAAGTGGTCTTAATCCATCAATTTTTGAACTTTAATTGGTAGTATTAGTCTTGTATGATGATATAACATAGAATTACAACTTATCAATCTATTACCCTAATCTCTTAACCTTCAATTTTGAATCCCAAACCCTAACTTGTAAACTTAAATCCTAACCCTAAATCCCTAATTCCTAAAACCTGCAAATAAAAGTAAATCATGAACGATTTTTTTATTGAAAATTCATATGTTTCTTGTTCATAATATCATAAGTAACGATCAATCCCATTTTGACAAAAATCACATGCTCGAAATGATGATTATTAGGCGAGTGCATTGTATGCACACAAAAAAGTCGGTGCACCGAAAATGCCACTATATATATAAACATTTACCAAATGATTTCATCTTAATCCAGTCTAAAAATTAAAATATAACATATGAGACACAAAACATAACAACATTTATATATATATAAACCTAAATAGAGATTACTGTTCACTAACATTTTGACTCTTGAGTTCTACTTCCTCTTTCTTTCCCACTCCTTACTTTTAAATTAATTGGTTTGCCCCCAATAGCAAATGTTAAATTAATTGGGGGCATCATGGCGTATGTGGACTTGCATTTGAAGTGGCATTTTCAATAATGCATGACTTTAAATTATAGGCTGAATTGCATGTTTGATCACTCGGTTTTAGGGTGGACATCAGTCCGGGTCGGACCGAATCGAACCAAATTCAGAGAATCGTGGTCCAATAGTGAAAGATAACTTAGAGCTAAGGACTGTACCATATAATTTTAATTTTCACGTAAAAAAATCTAATAAATATATATTTTTTATGTTTCCGTTTTGCGCTTCCGAATTTGAGAAATGTCATATATCCTAATTATGAGAAATTGAATATTTAAACACACTCATATAACATAAATATTCAGATGTTTAACTTAGAATTCTAGACAAAGGAAAAACAGGAAAACAACCGCATTTCGCAACCAAAGGGAAAAACGACGCCATGTGACTTCCAACCAAAGTACCTTGATGCAGTCGACCCACGAGTATGCTGCACCAGTTTTTCCTCACTGGGTCAGGATCAAAACTTGTCGACCCACAGGTTAACAAGCTTGACTAGAGATGTGGTAATTTTTGTAAAAATGAGACAAGATATTATATCACTAAATTTAGTGCATATCTTGAACAATTTTCTTATAATTTGTAAAATAAAAGGTTATAATCATGTACTCAAACGAATTACATCTCAACAGGCAACCACATATAATATTTAGCTCCAACCCGGGTTGGAGGAGCTGTCTGCAACCAGCTACGTGGTCGATAGGGATTGGCCCGAATCCATTAACAAGCTTTCCTTTTGTCACTTGTGGTGTGGACGGAAAGCAAACGGAAATTCCCACTTCTACTTTTTTATTAAAACTCCAAACAAACAATATACAAGAACAAAATAAATCATGGGGATTTTGTTTAGATTATCGTATGACATTATCATAAATTAATTAAAAATTAGATATAATACTATATCATAAATTTTACAAACTCTAAGACCTAATTCCTTAAAACTAAACTCAAATTATCATTTTGCATGTATCAATTACAAAAATATTATAAAAGTCTTCTACAATAATTAAACACTACGTAAACCTTATGTATGAATATCACTTAAGCAATCAAATGACATATATTATTCGTAATGATTAACCACTACGTGAAATGTATTTAGTATTTTATATAAATAATTTTATGAATTATTTGATTTCAATTAAATTATTATTTCTTACCTCGGCAAAATACACACTAAAAACCTAGTATCTATTTAATAACAAATATTTCATTATATTATACTAGCTTTTCCGTGCACATCTAGCTAGCATACGTATACAATATGATTATTGGAAGAACTCTAATTTACTTCAGCGGATCAAGTAATTATTATCTTTTGGTTTATTTAGGTTTCGTGGTTATATAACTATAGTTTAGGATTCACCTAATAAAATTAGAGCATTGTACTATACTCAAATTTCTCAATTAATAAATTATTTAATTAGCATAACATTTTTTTTACCGTGGACATGGTACACATTAAATTCATTAGCCATATCATAACTTGAACCCAAAATATAAATAGTTTATTTTGTTCTCTGTTATTTGGGGCTGGATTTCCAAAAAGAAAAAAATTACCATTTACTTTCCGTTACTAATGGAAAGCATATTATTGAATTTTGAGTCAATCCCTATCGCTCACGTAGCTAGTTGCAGGCAGCTCCTCCAACCCGGGTTGGAGCTAAATATTATCCGCCAACCACTCACACAATTGCCAATAAACACGCGGCAAATCGCGCATCACCACCTAGTTTGTATATAAGCCTATACAGCGTTGCGCTCTCGAACCCCAAACGGGACGCTACGCTCCTCAACCTCGAATCGTTGACCGATCAATTACTTCGTAAGCTCTATAACTGCAGTGAAGTTTTTAAATCAATTAGGTTGAGTTGAATCTGAATTTTGACCGAAAACCACAAAAAAGAGTAAAAACCGATAACTGCCAAAACTGATCAATACGAAGAGGAATATTATCACGTTGCGTAGGCCCCTTCTTGCTGCCGGGGTGCTGGAATTAGGGCAAAAGAGTCAGCCCTTCAGTTTTGATGAACATCACTCCTTGGGAACCCTAGCCATCATAGCTCTCAGCACCTCGTAAACAGCCTGTTTTTACTATTCAGGACCACCATTTTAGCCCCATCCATAGTGCTATACAATTCCGGTAATTTTTTCCATCGCTAATCATACTTCATCTCCGTGAAAATGTGTTCGAACACCTGGCTTTCTGACCCCTCAAATGATGTAGTTGATTGGCGCTCCTTATTTGATCATTAACAACTTAGGTTGGACTGCAGTAACTTGAGCTTTTCTCTATAAATTAAAAGCACCAAACAATAATGGACCAGTATTCAAGTGGTACTAATTAATATATGCCGCATGCATGGTTGAGCTAGTATCATCCATGCATGCTTCATTGAAGTTATGGTTAAATGAATTTTGTTGGTAATTAACTATATTTTCGATTAAAGCTCAATGAAATACTTAAACTATGGAAGTATTATCATACGAAATCTGTGAAACCATGATTTAGACTCCAAAAATTGAAGTTAGAAATAAATAAATATAGGACCATAATCACATTTGAGTTGCACGAGAGGAAAGATCAAGGATGAAAGTGTACCATATGCCCACTTCCTCTACAAGAATGTTTGATCATACATTCACAAATATATATGGGGTTGTCTTTAGTTTAAAGATAGTAGTCTTGTGCATAACTTGGTTTCGAGGTTGCGTGAGTAAGCAGTCCAATCTTCTTGGCTTGTTTAACAATGGTGGGAAAGGTTAATGTTCTCGTCAACCTCATGAATTGCAGTGCATGCATGGGGTTTAATTTGTTTGGTAATTAAAAACGGCTGGTCATTGTAGGTATGTAATTAATTAGATTAGAAACAAAATAAAGTGGGGTTATGGGTGCAGACCATCTACATCTGTTCCACGTTTGTCTATTTCAGGAAAAATATATGTGGCAGAAAGCGGTTGGGGAAGTTTCTGAGAAGCTTCATCCTTAATTTGCGTATTGCCAATGCCAATTACGAACGGTACGGTGTCCACAATCCATATCACCATTCCTTAATCATCTCATTGATTAAGACATCATATTCTCCCCTTTTTCTACCATCCATATAATAATTTAATTGTGTGAAAATCGAACAATAGGATACAAAGAGAGGGCTAATCAAAGTGAATCACGTTCTGTAGTCGATACAAACAATGTTGCGATGAATGATAGATTAGAAGCTGAGTAAGAGGAGAGCGGAGGAGGGCACGACAAGACAAGGGGGCAATAATTCCAGGTTAATTGCATGATTATCTCTCAAAATCATATTATGGGGCTATTATATAGTCCCATACCACTAAATCAACAATCTCTTATTTCTCACGTCTCAATATATCCAACAATGGGGAGCTGCCCAGTTGTATTGCACACTCTTTTTGTGTTTCATTTCGAAGAAAGACGCAATTGAAGAGACGCGTGATTTGAGACTGATCAGTTTGCTCGGGAGTGTAAATAACCTGATTTCCAAGGTAAGTTAATGAGTAGTTGAAGTCAGTGATATGGAGGTTATTTCTGGCGAGGCTTAGGGGTCAAAAAATCCATGAGGTCTCTCGAATCGCTAATGAAAATGTCGATAGCAGGAAAAAGAGTGGATAACCGAGATTGATGTTTAAGCTAGGCATTGAGAAAGCTTTTGATACGTAAACTGGGAGTGCACTATCATGATTTTCAAGAGCCTGAATTATGACTCCTTTTCCGTTCCTTTTGGTTCTTTTCAATGGGAAGGCTATTGATTTCTTCGATTGAATAAAGGATTGAGACAAGGTGACCCTATATCTCCTTTCCTTTTTAATTTGGTAATGGATGTTTTGTCAATGATATTGGAGACAGTTAGACAAAATGGAATTTTAACGAGATTTTATATGAATAATGAAGATTTGGCAAGAGGAGATGTCACGCATCTTCTCTACACCGATGACACGATTGTGTTTTGCGACGCGTTAGCAGAGCACGTTCTAAGTCTTCTTGCAACTTTGGTTTGCTTTCCAACTGTAACAATTCTCAAGATCAATATTGAGAAGAGTCATATGTATCCGGTGGTAAATTTGTAGAATCCAGAATTCCTTGCAGGCATCTTCGGGTGTGGGTGGAAGTATATACCAGCCATCTACCTTGGCCTTCCTTTAGGGGTGAGTCCAAACTCTGTTTCGGTGTGAAAACTTGCTCTCACTAAGTTTCATGCTATGTTAGAAGGATGGAGGGTTAGGTTTCTCTCACTTGGGGATCGTCTAAGTTTATGTAGCATAACTTTATCAAGTCAAGCACTTTTCATGTGCTCTCTACTAAAGACACCAAAAGGCATCATCTCCAATATGGAATAGAAGAAAAGAAGGTTTATTTGGTTTGGAATTCAAGAAAAAGATAAGTATCATCTCATGAACTGGAGCCGTTGTAAAGTGTTTAAAGAGAAATTGAAAATTGGGGTTTATTGGTATTGAGAGCATGAACTCCGCTCTTTTGTCGAAATGGCTACGCAAATACGTGACATATAAAGATTCTTGGTGGAGGAAACTTATACAAGTGACATTCGATAATCCTCTCTCCATATGAAAATCGGGACCATCGGCTAGAAGGTTGGGATGCTCACTTTGGAGAAAAATTGTTAAAGAAGAAGGGAAGTTTTGGAAGCTTGATTATATTAACCTAGTTGGAGGTTCTTGGGTTTCCTTCTAGGAAGAGTGTTGGATGGAGAAAAAGATTCTTGCTCATGATTCCTGAGAGTCGTTGCTGCTTCTGCTATTCCGCCGGATGGGTTACTGATCTTATATCTTTTTCTGATGGGAGTGTGAGTTGAGATTTGGATTCTTATATTTATTTGAGAGAGGGAGAGGGGAGGCTAACCGTGATAAATGATTGAGGTTGACATGGGGGCCAAGATGCGAGATCAGGGTTCTCTGTGTGGTCGATGTACGAGTGTTTAACTACCAAAAAGTTTCCTGGCACTCCGGATTTTCCATACAAATCAGTGTGGCAACAATAGGTGCCAACCAAGGTAAGAAGTTTTGTTTGGCTTCTCTTTCATAATCTAATTTTGATGCAAGATAACATCAAGAGATGTGGTTGCAGATCGTGAGTAGATGCTACCTTTACATTGCCAGATAGCATGTAAGACTCCTCCAAAATCCTCTTAACACCGGGCACTTCTTTAACTGATTCGTTAGTAAGCATTAACATATTAGGCCATTGGCAGCTTCAAAATATGCAAACATACCTCCATTAATTCCAACACTTATAATATGGTTGGACACACATTCCTCTATAGGACTCATAAATTTATATAGAAACCCCATTGCACTTATTATAGTGGAAACCCCCCAATTGGTCGTGTCAAATGCTTTCATAAAATCTATTTGGTAGTGCATCTAGCTTATATATTCTTCTTTCTTTGACTAATTCTTATACTATAAGTATGTTTTCACTAATCAGTATACCCTAAATGAATGCAGATTGGGAAGGTTCAATTACTCTACGAGGAACATGATACCATATATTAGTCAAGATTTCTGAAATCCCTTTATAAAGAGTATTGCAACAGGATATTGGTCAGGAATCTTTCATGTGGTCAGCATTTTAAATCTTAACAACTAGGGTAAAGATACTAGAGTTCACCTTTTTTAGTATAATCCATGTTGCAAAGAATTGCATAACCATGTCTTCATCTCTAGTACAAATAAAAGTTCCACCAGTAGAGAGGACCGTCAACTTAAGGATGTATTTTTAAGGGTATGGATAAATCTTCCAACAACCCTTGATTTCATTGACCCTCTACATGATCGAGAAAAAAGAGTTAAACATATACACTTATACGAGCACTAAGGTGTAGAAATTTCTCTTCCTCGATCAGGCTACGAAAGCAAAAGAACTCCACTCGAGACATAAAATGGTGAGGCATGCATAAATCAAGATTGTGGTGAAGGTAGAGATGAGCAAAAAATTTAGTGGAAGCTACATGTGCTTCGGCCCAAATTTTTAGTAATTCTTGATTTGAGGAAAGTACTCGGAACTGCATGAGGCATATCAATTTGTCCTTCAAGTGCGCCTGCGAGTGAGTGAAAATTTCAAAGTTCTCTAAGTGTGAGGGTTGACCTTGTATGTTTCTTATGATCCACTACCTACAATTAAAAGTCATGTGATATCGTGGAGGCTAGTGAACTATATGATTGTGAAGTGTTGGTCTGTTTGAGGATAACACGAAACTCGAGTGTGGGGGAATTTTGATAACACATGTGAAGCGCCATTCTTTACCCTCATGTCGCGTGCTTGCATGATTATTGTTATGATCCATACTCTAATTTCTGAATTATCAAGGTAATAACCATTGATGATCCACTATTTCACCTTGCTCCTATTATTGACCTAGTGTGTGCCTTGACCGTTCTAATGGCGAAACTTGTGTTTTGATGCTTTGCTTGAGCGAAATCAAAGGCTTAAGTGTGGTGGTATTTGATAACGCATAAATAATACATGTATTTAGATACCTTTCAAGCATCTTTGCTTGGACATTTCGACAATAATTCTATGTTTTTGCTGGTTTTATGCTTGGTTTGTGTTTTAGCATTTTTCAGATCATGATGAGTGATTTGATGATATTTGGACGAGAAATACACAAAGTACGAATTTTTTGGAGCCTTGGAGCATTTGGAATGCTCTAGAAGGTTTTTTCGAGATCCCCATGGCTAGCCTCACAATCATGGGTCGGACCGTGAAAATTAGCTAGGAATTCCCCTCAATGGCCAAAGACAAAAATCAGTGTTGAGTGATTCACGGCCAGTGTCACGGTCGTGACTCGAGCCGTGAACACCCCACGGGTCGTGAATGATGACAGAAAGTCTACCATAGCGACGTTAGACCATTTAAAGTATCGGGCAAGGATGTGATTTACAGGTGGCCTCACGGTCATGAACGTACTGTGAATGACCTTCTGCATTGAATATTTAAGCGTCATTAAGTCTAATTGAAATGTATTTTAGCCATACAAACCCTAAAATGATCAAAGACGAGTGGGAGAGCAGAAGAAGAGGTTTTCCATTCGTTCTACCCCAAATAAGTCACCTTGGAGCATCCGATGAAGTCTTCTACGATGAAAATAAGTTCTTCTTCTTTTCCATTGTTCGTTTTCCTTTTAGACATGAACTAATCCTCTCTTGTTGTTTAGATTAAATGAACGCTAGTTGCATGATACTGATTTGATTGATACTGCATGAATCTTGATGTTTATGATCTTTGATTTGTCTATCAATGATATTTTGGGTATGCAATAGCAGTGCACCTATTGCATGCTTGCATGTTTCATGTGTATGTCGAGGAGAAGATCCCCATAGACGCGATATAACACTCGTAGATGAAAAGGACCTCAAACTACTAGAAGATGAGGGAGAGGAACTTCTGGATTAGGGTAAAACCTAATAGGGGGTCATGGAGAGATAATGATATAACCCTAGATTGCCTCATTTCCAAGCTTGAATTACTTGTCCAAGAAGCTTCTCCAACTTATTTGAACAATTTGGATTTTTGGCTAAGTATATTGACGAGTTCATGTCGCCTAATTTGGGAGCTCCAATTGGGTTGGTGTAAATGTGAGTTTAGGGTCTTGTTTTGAACCTAGAGTTTCCCTCTACAAGCTGGGGTGTCAGGGAGCTTGAGGAGAAACTCAGAAGACCATTGTACAGGCTGACAAAGTGCTTCCTCGACACATGAAAACTATCAGAATCTGCCTAAAGTATAGAATTGTGTTCGGGAAGGCCACTTTGAAGCTTCATTCCAGGAAGATGGTTTCAAATTGAGTCAAGAGCTTCTTACTACATGAAAGTATGCATGTTAATATACAGAGAAAAGGCATTGGATGATTCATTTCATACCTGGAAGTCATCAATTGAGAGCCTCAAAGATTGTCTCAAGGGCTGTTTGGTGACTTGGAGCTGAAGGCAGAATTCTTTCATTATGTGATTCGGATTATTATTCCTTTTATGTTTAAGCGTAGTTTTCCAATTGTATTAGGTTTAGGATGTCTTACCTTGTTTAAAACTCTAGCTAGGATCTATTTAAGCTTTCGATTGCGTTGTAATTGAACTCAAATTTTAATCAAAGAACATTTTTTGTTCATAGAGCTTGTCTCGTGAATTGTCCATGGTTGAGTGGATTCGAATCCATCAAACAAGCAAGCTCAGCATCGATTGATTTATCCTATCAATCATGGACAAGTTGCTACCTAAAATTGATCGAGCATGTTCCCTCTTTGGTGTTGAAGTTGCACGTTCGACGACCATCCCCTTTCATTCTCTGTTTTTGGCTTTGAGTGGGATCAATCTTCGTGAATCCAGCTGGCTGTGCGATTCTGATCAATAAGCTCGAGGTTGAGGGCTTATCAGACAAATCGTTAGGAAATTCGATCGAGGTCAAAGAGAATATCAGATCTAGGTTAAATTGACAAATAGGGTGTTAATACATGAGAAGACCGAGTTAACACCAATTCTGGAATTCCTAGGGTCAAAGATTAAAACTTCGAGACTACTCATGTTCAATTAGAGAGGTATGATTAGCTAGGGGCTTCAAAGTCTGAACAATACTCTCTCTATATGAATTTGCATCATAGTTATGTTTTGCCTCTACGGAATTTCATTTCATTTTATTTGGTTTAAATAATTGAAATAACTTAAAAGAGATTAGTTAAATAATAAGAAGCACATCTAGTAATTCATAGTGTCTGTGGTTTATGACTGTTCTTGGCACTTTGCCTCTACGACAGGTACACTTGACATAAGTAGTCGCAATTAGAAAAAGGCGATCATCTACCATCACTTTCTTTCCTTTATAACTTTAGTAGACATCCAGAATTCCAAAAACTGGAACCAAGACTTGTTAAAAGGGTTCCAAAGTCAAAAAGTTCCAATTTTTCTTCTTTTGGGGTAAAAAAGTACTAGTGAAGAAAAAAAAGGTAAAAGTCGCGGGACCAACGGAGGAAGGGAAGCAGAAGCGCCATGAGGGGGGGGGGGGGGGAGAGGAAAGATTGTGAGCAAGGCGCACGACGGGACAAATCACGGGCGTGCGTGCCCTCTCCCCATGGTTGCATCTTAAATCCGCTTGTTGCTCAAAAACAAAAATTACCCTTTCTGTACCCATATTCACCCAAATGGCTCTTTTAACCCCAATTTCTCTATAAATACACTTAATTCATTCGCTTCTACTTCATCACTTACATTTTTCCTCTCAATTCGCTCTAATTATGATATTCATTTTCTTCCCATCAAATAAGAAAATTCTCTTCCTCCCAAACTCCTGATTATGTCTCAAATGAATTGTCCGCAAAATTGGAAAGAGTCCGGAGATGAAGTTTTGTGCAAGACATGGATTAGACTTTTGGAGGACAGTTTTGTCTGCCATAATCAATCATCGAATGAATTTTGGAGGCGCGTTGGGATAATATTTACCAAGAAAAGCATGGGTATTTCACGTCCTGACAAGGGCCTACAAAATCGATGGAAGACCACACTCAAGAAATGTGGTTCTTGGGATGCATCGTCGAGGAGAGCAAGCACAACACCAGCCAATGAGCGGAATAAAATCTCGGCGATTTGGTTAGTCAAGTGCAAATAATAATTATTGTGAATTTAATTTTTTAATTGATTATATTTTTCATATTAGTTAAAATTCTTAATTTAATTGTCTAGGTTGAACGAGCGAAACAAATTTTCAAGGTGGACAGCGGAAAGCCTTTCAACTTGCAGCATTGTTGGGAGATACTTCAACTTTCACTTTTGGAGTAGCTAGAATTTGAATTATAGCCCTAAATTTTGGAACTTTGGACCTTGTTATTAAAGATAGTCCAAAGGATATGAATCAATCACCAAATATTGTGCTCCTTATTACTTGTAGATTTTTTACTGTAACCTTAAGCTAGAAAAGAACAATCATGGCCCCGAAAATTCCACATTTAGCACATACGAATGTAAGATGGGAGAACAATCCGCCGATCTAATGCATCGAAACAAGAGAACTTTATTCAAGCAAAAAATGTCTCTCTCTTACCTCTCCCTAACAGAACTTTTAAGAGACCTTTCAACGGTTCTTTTTTCGTCTCCTTCATTGGGAATTCTACTACTCAAGTTAAGAGCTATCCTATGATCTTCATTGCATGTAGCAAAGATCTACACACAGTTGGTATCAATCAATATGGGGGAGGCTCATTTTTTCTATAGATTTTAAGAGCCATCAATCGATTGGACAACTCAATAGATACTGTGTACTTGTTGAAAAGAAGGGTGTGGTATGGAAGCCACCAGAAGAGGGGCTTTACCTAAGGCAAATCAGTAAGAAGGCAAGAGGGGAGGGTAAGGTGAGATCACAATTCAGATTTGTCTCTAGAGACTCTACTACTAGCCTAATGAATATTGGGGGAGATCATAGAGTCCATATTCGCTGGTTTGACAGAAGAAAAACAGAGAAAAATTCAATTCAATATGCAGAGAAATAATGAAGTTGTTGGCAAGAGATATACCCACCACATTCAAGAGGGAAGAGAGTTTCAGTAATAGAAGGGGAGCAATAAAGAGAGGAAACCAGGGAACAGAACATATCCTACCTTCTCTCTCGACTTTACTCAATGCTCCCTCAAGCATATGCTTACCAAAACTCACACCATTTCAGAGATTAGAACCACTCTCGATCCAGGTCAATCCCACACTATTCCTATGGATATCAACACCAATGACGCACCAAACAGGCCTAATGCTGGAAGTATCATCCCTTCTTCATCTAGAGGCAAGGAGGCCGCCCAATCCTTTCTTTCACTAGTGGCTGAGGAATCTCCATGTTGCTATGGAAGATGGTAACATAAAACAAGGTGGCGGTTCCATAAGCAGCAAGGGAGGCTCGTTATGCCTGGGGATGTTATGGAGAAGTGAACATCCAGCCTACAGATACTCCAAACCTATTCGTCTTCATATTTAACAAAGCGGAGATCGGGGATAAAGTATGGATGGATACGCCTTGGAGCTAGTCAAACACACTAACAACAATCGAGAAGTACAATGTTCGAGGGATACCAGAAGATATACCTATCGAGAAGGTGACAATGTGGGTTCAGATCCATGGCTTGCACCAGAACCAAAGGAACGAGCAAAATATGGAGGCTATAGGCTCCTCCTATTTCTTGGAACTCCTTGATCTAGATAGAGCTAGCCTATATTATGCTGGTTATAGAAGGTTTTTAAGGATTTTGGTGGAGTTCGATCTTAGGGAACCAGTTCCAACTGATTTTGATTTCCCCTTCGTTGATGAAACCACAGGGGTGGAGTATTGCGATGAGATTACCTTCAAATATGAAAGACTGGTAGAGTTGTGCTATTTTTGTGGTAGAATCGGTCACAACTTGCCTAACTGTAGGAGGATGAATGAAGAGAAGAAGAATAACGAAGTTGCATACTTGTCGGAGATCTACAATTCCTCTCTTAAGGAAGGAATTGATTCACCTCACAGACATCACTCGACAAGTTTACAAAACATCGGGGAAAGTAGAGGAGCACAAAGCAAAATTGTGTAAAGAGAAGGTTTGAGATCGGGAGGTGACTATCGACGGGGAGAAGAAGGAGCAAGAGGCTCGACAACTGCTATTGGAAGTCAATCGGTGAATAACCCCCAAATTCCCCCAGGATTCACAATTCAAAAAATTGAAAATGATCCACCACATAGGGACCAACAGGTGAATCAAGGGAAGTTGAAAGAGAGATTTAGGGAAGAGATGGGAGCAAGGAACCTGAGTTTCGACCTGGATATAGCAACGGCGGAGTTGGAATGGGGATTGAGGTTGGAAGAAAGTGGCGCTGCCCAGGTTCACCTACTCAAGCAATACAAGTGGAAACAAATTTGACTCTCAGGCCGAGTCAGCATGTGGCCCCAGAGCAGGTCTCAAGCAAAATTGGCCCAATCGAAATAGGCCAATACTAACATAACAATGAGGTCTTAGAAGAAGCAGGTTGGCAGATGAAGAAAATGAAGGGAACGAGCCAAGGGAGTGGAGACAGGCCTAGGGCCGAGTTTAATGAAGATGCAACCTTTTCTTTCAATCCAGAAGGTGTTGTTTTTCTGAATGGGCTGCGAGGAAAGAATAGAAAGAAAAAGATTCAAATGACTAAGCATCATCCTAATTTCGACTCAATGGGGAGGCAATATGGAGAAGACCCAGAAGGCAAAGTGGGGATACACGGGCAGCGATGGTTTGCCAGAAGCCATCTCATATGGAATGAGTATTGTGAGTTGGAATTTAGGGGATTTGGCCCAACTCTTACAAGAAGTTATGCAAAGCGTCTTTGTCATCTCTTAGGCCCTTTGATCGTTTTTCTTATGGAAACTAGCAAGAATGAGGACTTTATGGAAGAACAAAGAATAAGTCTCAAAATTTTCCCCAATAGAGAGTATGTTGAACCAATTAACTCTTCTAGGGGTTTTGCTTTATGTTGGAAAGCGGGTATTAGTATTGAAATTTTAAGTAGCGATAGCTACTATATGGATGTTAGTATTGATATGGGTGGAAGTTCTTTTATACTTTTGTTCAGGCACCATCTACAACTGTTAGTAGACGGGTTTTTTGGGAGCACCTAAGCTCGCTTCAGAGTAGTAGGGATGATAATTGGGTTGTTGTAGGGGATTTCAATGCTACTATTTATGAAAATAAAAAGGAAGGGAGATGTCTCCTTAGGTACAAGAATGTGGAACTGTTCATCTTCCACAATGCTCTTATGGATTTGTGCTTTAAAGGGGACCCCTTCACTTGGACCAACAAGCGTACATGCCAAAATTTGATGAGAGTAAGATTAGATCGAGTGCTTTGTTTGACTTCTTGGCGGGCTCTCACTACAAGAAAACTCGTCTATTGCAACTAAATTATTGAGACAGATTTGCCATATGTCTCTAAAAATACCGAATAGTTGACAATTGTATTTTGTGTCTCTGGAAGTGGTAATATATGTAGTTAGAGGTATCTTATATATGACATATATGCTATTTGTCTCTATAGCTTTTAAACTTTACCAAGAATATTAACTTATGGTTGCATTAGAGATATATTTTTTATACGAAAAAAGATATATATTTAACAATCAGTGTAAGGCTTCTGTAATATCTTTTGACGAAATATTAATGAGAATTGATAAAAGAAAATTACTTACAAAATAAAAGTCATAAATAAGATTCTACTATCCATCTAAGAAAACGAAAGGGAAATAATTAAGGAGAATGAGAAAGGGATTTTCAATTTAAACAAAAGGGGGAATTACATCTGTGAAAATAAAAATTGTAAGGATGAGGATTTTTTCCCTTCCCATATCAAAATCCGAGTAGCAGTCTCTATATATATTTTTTTTCATTTTCCAGCCCCACCGTACCCCATCTCCTCCTGCCTTTTTCTCCCTTGCACCCTCCTGATGTCAAATTAAGATGAGACCAGTTGTCTCCCTATTGGATTTATACATAACATGGTATTACGGTTTTGTTTTCACTTATGCGTTGTCTCTTCCCAGTCTTTCATCTATCCTTATCTCCTTCCTCTGCCTTCTTAATTTTTGCTTCATCTTCAATAATAATATGGTTCCATTTATATGTTTTGGTATCTGCAGGTTTGAAACTGATCACGGTGATTTACTTAGAGAAACAATGATTTAACCCGAAAATTTCCTAATTGGTATGAGTTGTACCTTTATTTGGTTATTATGATAGATTAGGTTAGCTTTCGTACATGGTTAGTGTTCAATTTAGTGTTTATAAACCAAAAGGCCAAAATCCACCCATGCCCTATTTGCTTGCAGGAGTCGATGGCAAAATGGACTTTAGTGAAAGATTACACATTCAGAATCTAGTTTTTCACGGATAATTGAAGTCATGACGGGAAGTCAATTGTGTACGTATCTAAGAGCAACAAGGATAGCTTTGATGAAGTGGCGATACTGAAGAGAGGAAAGGAGTCCCCGAAGGCCGAAGGTTTAGACGAGGGGAAACGTTTATAAAGTTATCTTTTTTTGGATGAATCCAAAATTGCATTAAGCGCCAGGAAATGCTAAAACCAGGGATCCTCTCAATAGTACTTGGTTACACATTGATAATCTATAGGAACTAAGTAATAAACCTATAAAAAAACAAGACTAAGGGCAAGGAACTTATAAACTAAGCAGTCCACTTCAAAACGGATTCGGCGTACTAACTGGAGTGGGGAAGCATCAGTACCATCCCCATACCATCTTCAACATCGCTCCTTCCATACATTGCTGATGGCCAAGCGCCACAATAGACGACCAACTCTAGCTTCATCATGTTTACTCTTCCAACGCACAAGTGCCCAGGACAATGTGTCTTCCTATCAACTGAAAATTGGACGTGACACAGTAGCAAAAAGGGCATGCATAACACATCCAAAATAGGAACATGTACCAAATAGATGGCCCCTGCTCTCCAAGCCACCTGGGAATAATACACACATAGCATAAACCGACTCCCCCAACAACACAAGCTTATCAACAGTAGAGATTCTATTATGAATTATGATCCATGACAAAATGCTATACTTGGGGATAATAGGCTTACCCCAAATAAGCTCTGACTAACTCACCTGAGTCGAGGGAGTACGGATACTTAACCAAACTCGTTTAACAGAATAACGAGTCATAGCACAACCATCCCAGCAAAGTGAACGACCAGCACCTGTGATAAACCTGGCAGCAGTGCCTCGAAGCTTCAAAATGTGCTTCCAAACCATAAACCACTAAGGTAGCTGAAATTTCCCATACAGTCTTGGCCTTGAGTTTATACATTTTAATCCATGCTACCAAAATAGAGCCACTGCAAGCAAGAACAGACCACAAGTGCCTAATAACACAAGCCTTATTCCATACACGAAAATCCTTTATACCCAAACCCTCCTCAGACTTCAACATGACAACAAATGACAATTAAGCAAGTGCCTTAGATCTACTCCCTTCAACACCAACTCCCTACAAGAAATCATTGCATATTTTCTCAATATCCTTAAGGAAACCAGTTGGCAATACAAATATGTTCATCCAAAACTGAAGGACACTAGAAACAACTGACGAAACAATCTGAATCCGGCCCGCATAACATAGCTTTTTCGATTGCCAACCTCTAGCCCAAGAGGTGATTCTATCAACCACCACTTTACAATCAATCCTACTGGCTTACCTGAAAGCAAAGGAACCCCCAGATATCGCACAGGCAGGCTGGAGAGAGGAAAACTCGTACTGCTTGGTATAAATTGTTGCTCTGCCTCTGAAATACCCGCACAGAAAGAACCGACTTTTCTCATGGTTACACTTAAGACCTGATACCAGATAGAAAGCATCCAGCAAACGCCTAATAACTGTTATCGCTCACATAGAGCCATTGGAGAAAACAAGCAAATCATCTGCGAACCACAGATGCGCAATATCTAACTTCTTACACCTAGGATGACAGGGAATCTAATTCTCAACAGCAGCTTTGTGTAACAAACATGAGAAAATTCCTATGGATATGGTGAAAAGGTAAGGGGAGAGTGGATCCCCTTGCCTAAGACCATTTCCCGCTTTAAAAAACCCACATAGCGCCCCATTAAATGCAACTCTGAAGCTCGTAGAGGTTATGCAAGTTCTAACCATATCAATAAAACAATCTGGGAACCCCATGCCCCGTGGCACTCATAACTCGAAACACTAAACTATAATTTTTCAATTTCTACGCACTTAAACACTTTTCCAATGTACGACTGATTGGTTGGCTTCAATAAAATGATGAAAAGGTGGATTTCACAGTTTATTCGGGTTCTATTGATAGTTATAAAAATTACAACACATTATATATTTATATTTTAAATGAATTTCAATTGAGTTATGAAAAAATTGGGTGGGTAGTTATGCTTTAAGATATTATTTTGATGCAAATATCATAGACTCAAACAACTAATTTTAGAAACAAAAGAGATTGACTCTAAAAGTCAAATTGGAGGCAACAATATATGTCCCTAATAACTAATATTACAAACAAAAGAAACTGACTCTAAAGGTGATATTGGAGACAAATACTTGTGTCGCTAAATATGAATATGAAGACAAAATAATAGTCTCTAGAAAACGTATTTAGAGACAAAAATGTTAGATGCACATTCTTCATTCAGTAACAAATAAAATTTGTCTCCATATTTGTCTCTACAAGGCTACTACAACGGCTCTACAGGAGACAAATGTGGTATCTGCATCTAAAGAAATACAGAGACAAATAAGTATTCTTTAGAGACACATTTTCATTGGCTCTGTAGCCCATTTTTGTTGTAGTGTCTCTTCGTGGAAGCAATGGTTTTCCATGAAAAGATGGTTGGTTCTGACCACTGCCCAATCAGATTAGAGCTTCATTATAAAGGAAGAAGGAGCAGAAAGACCCCTTTTATGGTGGATGAAAGATGGCTGGAAAAAGAGGAATGCAAAGAGATTGTGGCCCGAGCTTGGGACCAGGAGGGAAATCGTCCGACCAACTTGACAAGTGTGAACGGGATCTTAAGGAATGGTCAAAGAACTTTCACAATATCAGTATGCAAAGGGAGCATGATATTATTAACAAGCTCGAGATTCTTCATCATCCGCCTAGAACATAAGAGAGTGTGGAGGAAGAGAAGAGGCTCAAAAAGGAACTCACTAATCTTTGGAGGGATGAAGAGCCTTTCTGGAATCAATTCTCATGAGTGAAATGGATCCGAAAAGGCTATCAAAATATCTCTTTCTTTCATTCTGGCACGATTCATAGGAAACATAGGAATAAAATTCTCAGCTTGAAGGATGATGGAGGGAATTGGATTGAAGATGAAAATAGGCTTAAAGGTCTCTCTAAGGATTGTTGTAAGGATCTATTTAGAGATAGAAACCCAATCGGATTCTACCACCTTTTGGATGGTTTACCAGCAAAAGTGTCTACCAAGATGAATGAGGATCTCTATGCTCCGGTGACCAATGACAAAATGCAAAAAGTGGTATTTTCTTTGGGAGCTAGAAAAGCTCCAGGCCCGGATGGATTGTCTAGGAGGTTTTACTAGAGATATTGGGATGTTATTGGGGAGACACTTTTTCGAGAAGGTAATGGTTTCTTAGGGACAGCGGTCATGCCGGAGGGATGAAATGATACGCATATTACAATGGTTCCTAAGGTTGACCATCCAGAAATGATCAGTCAGTTCCGTCCTATTAGCTGTTATAATTTTAGATATAAATCATATAAAAAGTTATGGCTGCCCGCCTCAAGAAATGGACGATTGATTTGGTCTTGGAGCTCCAAACTGCCATTACTAGGGTTAGGCTGATCCAAGACAATATCATCATTGTGCACCAGGCTCTCCGTCACTTCAAACATCACAAGGTGGGTCATAAAAGAGATATGATGTTGAAGTTGGCTACGAAGAAGGCTTATGATATGGAGCGACTAGGAATTCTTAAAAATCCTTCTGAAGAAATATGGTTTTGATAATAAATGGTGCAACTGGGTCAGTGCATGTATCCGATCTGTCAGATTCTATATTCTCTTCAATGGAGAAGCAACAAATTTTTTCAGACCTTCTCGAGATATTAGACAAGGAGGCCCGCTCTCCCCATTCATTTTCATTCTCATGTCTATGCCCTTACCTTCTCAATTGATAAGGTTGTGGCTCAAGACCAACTTAAGGTGATTAAATTGAACGCCATATGCCCAATACTCACCCATTGTCTGTTTGTTGATGATACAATTATCTTTGGTAAGGCAAACCATCAGGAAACACAGAAAATTCTGGATCTTATTGGAGAGTATGGAGTGATCACATGACAAGAAGTTAATATAAGCAAATCATATGTTTTCTCCAGTGCTAATGTTTCCGACGTTGAGAAAGCTTATATCATTGTCCACATTGGATTCGCTACATTGAATTGTCATTCTAATTATCTGGGGAGTTCTAACAGAACGGGGAAACTCAAAACAAGAAACTTTTAAGTTCCTCATACAAAGAATTGAAAAGATGAGGGAATCTTGGAAGAGTCTCCTGCTTTCCAATGGTGAAAAGGAAGTCATTCTCAAAGCCTTTATTCGAGCTATACCATCCTTCATCATGTACCTGTTCCATCTTCCGATTTTCCTTACCAAGAAAATGGACTCTCTACTCAGTAACTTCTTTTAGTCAGGATCAATGCATAAGAGTAGCCTTCACTGGTGTAAGAAAGAAATTCTTTGTGCGCCTAAATCTGAAGGGGGCTTGGGATTCCGAAGCTTCAAGGATTTTCACATGACACTTTTGGCTAAGCAGGCGTTGCATCTTCTAACGTCCCTATACTCCCTTTGGAGTCGTCTACTTAAGGGTCTTTACTTCCCTCGATGTGATTTTCTCAAAGCCAAGAAGGGTAGCAGATCCTCATGGATTAGGGCTAGTCTCTGGGTGGCAAAGAAAGTCATCAATTTAGGAGCGGTCCGTGTGATCGGCTCAGGAGAGGACACTTGGGTGGACCAAGATCCATGGATACCATGTATGCAAATTTTATCATCAGAAGTGGCCCCCAAAATCATGTGAAGGTTAAAGAGTGGATTGATCCAGGAGATAGAAGTTGGAACTCAGATATCATGCAGGGCCAGGTCCCTAGCACGGAACTTGAAGCAATTATGAGGATTCCTATTGGAGAAGAAGGAGTAGAAGATTTTTGGGCATGGAATTTCACAAAAGAGGGAAGTTTCTCGGTGAAGTTGGCTTACCACGCAGTTCACAAAGCTGAAACCAATCTTCAACCAAATGGGAATGCTGAGAAATGGAAATGGATTTGGAGCCTTCACCTTCCTCCAAAGTTTAAATTTTTTATCTGGAGGTGCTCCCAGAATGGGCTGGCAATGAAAGAGAGACTTCTTCACCAGAAATGTGCTCCTAACTCGACATGTCAAGTGTGTCAATACCCAATTGAATCCTTGCTCCGCTGCATTTTTTATTGCCCACATGCCAATGCTACATATTCATGGAATGCTATTTTCTCATCTCTCCCTTTACCTCCGCAGGGGACCTCATTCTTTGACTGGTTTTGCTCTATAAAAGATGCTATCTCGCCGAGCTACTTGATCCATATTGTCTTCCTTTGCTGGAATATTTGGAAGGCGAGGAATTAGTGCTTTATCAAGAATAGAGTCTCGTGGCCCCCGAATGTGTGTCTGCAAACATATAAAGAGCTCTCTAAATGGAGTTCTTGTCCAAGGCCCCCATCTCACATTTCGTCCTGTTCTCCCCAGCTTAGGGGTACTCAGTCTAATACGAATCCTCCGCCAAGTAATCATTCTTTGGTGATTTCATGTAATGGGTCGTTCATAAGCGACTCCCAACTGGCGGCATATGGTGTTGTGGTTGTTAACCACAATGGACAAGTGTGTGATGGAGGAGATGAGGCTCTTCTTTGTTCCACCCCGATTGAAGCAGAAACTAAGGCTCTTCTTGAATGAGTAAAATCAGCACAAGAATATGGATCTGAATGCATAGTCCAATCCAACTGCCAGGTGTTGGTTAGAGCGTTAAATCAAAATCAAGCAAGTTGGTCGTGGCGGTGTGCTGCCTAGATTGGCTATATTGTCAGGATTCTCAGGACAAACCCCCTCATTAAGGTCAAGGAGGTGCCGAGAGCTCTCAATGTCAGGGTCGATTGGGTTGCGCGATCAAAGGTCAGAGATTCTCTTCTAGAAGATTGGATTAATATTCTTGATCTAATTTATGATCTTCTTTAAGAATGTAACATGTTTCCTATTTCTTTCAAATGGTGGAATAAAAGTTGATTATTCTTGTAACCTTTGATTCTGGAAATGATGTATTACGAGAATGTATGTATTAAATATTATGTGTATACTAAGAATGTGTGGTTTTGAAAATTATTGTTTGGAACTCATAAAAGAATGCATGGATTATATAGTTTAAATGAACTATTGAGAATACAACATGTATTATGAATACATGCATTCTGTTATTACATCAAGTCCAAAAATGTTGTATTCTCGGGATACATGTATATTGAGAATACAACATCTAAAATTGGAGGTTTCAAACTATCCCGTAGTCAATATTCACCTCAATCTTGGGCAATTCATCTTGACTAATTCTGAGCTTATCAACTCTCGAGGTACTAGACTTCATTTCAACACAAATTCTAGAATTTTATCTTCACTAATTTTACCTTTTGATGAAAGAGGAGAATAAAAAGGTTCTGACAGAATTTTGACTCACTCCACCACTTTAAAATGGTCCTCTTCTTGTGAATCAAATTCAGTCAGCGCCTTGGCCTGCATTTGGTTTGGTAATCGGCGGAGGACGTGAAATAGCTGGGATATTTTCATATTACGCGTAATTTTCATTAATTCAAAATTTTTTTTTTTTTTGCATCATCAATCATAAATTAATTAACTAATTAATCAACATTATAATAGAAGTGCACAAGTGAAACTACCCAACTGTGCGCGCCCATGCATGTCAGCAGTACTAAATAGTACACACCCGGCATCTGTCCATTCCATACATCAATTAATTTAAACAACTTAATCATAACAAGTAAGAATAATAACATAAAAGGCAAAGGAAACAAAAAATCAAGGAATATAGGAAACTTCCTGGAAGTTGCTTGCAGTAGTAGGGTCATCCCAATTCCCATGGCCAAATCACACGGAAACAAAAAAAAGATAGTTTCTGGGCCATACACAAATGGAGGGGGAAAATGGAAACTAAAATCATATAATATAATATAATCGAATAAGAATAGTTTAAATTATTATCTTTCAAAATTCAGCATCCTATTTATAACTCTGCGCATCTTCTCTCTCGCTCATCATCCCGTCACTGGAAACTTTCAGAAACAGAGAGAGAGAGAGAGAGAGAACGTAGCGCGTTACGTAACGTAGCTGATCCAAAACCTTGGGCGAAATGGCCGCTCCTCCGATCCAGCAAGAAACGGTGCCGTGGCTGCTGGAGAACGGCAGCTACAAGGTGCTGACGAAGGAGGCGCGTCAGGGTCACGGCCACAGCCACCACGGCCGGACGGCGCACAACATGTCCTCCTCCTCCCTCCGCAAGAAGTCGGACCTCACGCTCGTCTCCAAAGTGCAGTGCGGCCTGCTCCGCTCCTTCCTCACCAATCTCCAGGAAGTCATTCTCGGCACCAAGCTCTCCATTCTCTTCCCCGCCATCCCGCTCGCCATCGCCGCCAACTACTGCAACTTCGGACGGGTACGATCAAAATTGATTCCTACTCCGTCTCAATTTCACTTGCCAATTCCCAATTCTCGCAGAATTTTTCTAACAAATTTCCCCTTTTCTCTCACAACAGCCGTGGATTTTTGCTCTGAGCTTGCTGGCGCTCATGCCGCTTGCAGAACGTGTCAGCTTTTTGACAGAGTATGTAATCTAATCTAGCTTTGCCTTTATCGTCATTTTCCCCCCGGCAATAATTTATATTTCTTTCCATATATCAGTGGGAGACTGACGATGTCTCTAGCTCTAATGAATTGATCACCCTCCTTTTGTTTGAAAATTTTTGCAGGCAAATTGCTTACTTTACTGGTCCAACAGGTACCACTAATGCTTCTATAACATTTTCTTGTCACCAATAGTTCACTTTCCTCTATCAATTAATTATAATCCTTCCTTCCTTCCGGCCGGATCGAGTGCCTGTAATTCGGCGCGTAGAATATGGTTTTACAGAAAACTTTTTGGTTCTGTCCGCAAAGAATAAGATGATAGTATATATAGAGAATCTGAACAATACAAGTGGGCACCTCGTCCAGTTGGATTTCTTTACTATATGGAGCTCATCTAGCTATGAGAATAACCTATTAATATATTCAACCGTTTTGGTGCAATGTCTGTGTCCAGTTGCTCTCCCCTAATCTAAGTCAACGTATTTGTTAGTCTTTGGTTATTATTGTTGTAATCAGTCTGATTACTGATCAGTTCGTGTATCCTATTGGGTTAGCAGCCATGCATTGAATATTGAAGAATATATAGTAAGACTGATTATTGATGATGTTGTTAATGATTTTGGGGTTCCTGCGCGCAGTTGGAGGGCTGCTGAATGCAACATGCGGGAACGCGACGGAGCTAATCATCGCCATATTCGCACTGTGCCAGAACAAAATAGACGTGGTGAAATTCTCCCTCCTTGGTTCCATTCTCTCCAACCTCCTCCTTGTCCTCGGCACCTCTCTCTTCTGCGGCGGCCTTGGCACCCTCGGCAAGCAGCAAAAATACGATAGGGTATGTAGTTTAAGTCTGGGTTTCAGTCTTCCTGGCTAGCTAGCTATCCACCAAAAAAAATATGGTCTAAGCAACATCTCTAACGACAAAAACATATGGGAATTATGTTGCAAATGCAGAGACAAGCAGATGTGAACATGTTGCTGCTGTTCTTGGGGCTGCTGTGCCAATTGCTGCCACTGTTGTTCCGGGTGGCTGGAGGCTACACCACTGTCACAACCGTCGCTGCCCTTCAGCTGTCGAGAGCAAGCAGCATCGTCATGCTCGTTGCTTACGTGGTTTACATCGTGTTCCAGCTGTGGACACATCGCCAGCTCTTTGAAGCAGACGAGGAAGCAGGAGAGGGTCAGGAAGAAGAGACGCCTGTGATTGGATTCTGGAGCGGGTTTGTCTGGCTGGTGGGGATGACCATTGTGATCGCGCTTCTGTCGGAATACGTTGTGGCCACCATCGAGGATGCTTCCAACTCATGGGGTCTTTCAGTTAGCTTCATCAGCATCATTCTGCTGCCGATTGTTGGCAATGCTGCTGAACACGCGGGTGCTATCATCTTTGCCTTCAAAGACAAGTTGGTAATAACATAATCCCGAATCCATCTGTTTCTTTTTACTTTTGCTTCGAAATACCCATGTCTTGAATGAAATGCCCATATCTTCACAACATGATGGGGAACTATTTTTAATGAATTATGCAGGACATATCCCTTGGAGTTGCTCTGGGTTCTTCCTGTCAGATTTCCATGTTCGTGGTAAGTAGCTGTAACAACTTAATAAATCTATGGAGTTGGTAACTTGCCATGGTTTGAATTTTCACTGGATTCTGACTCTGGGAAATGAATGCATGCTGCAGATTCCAGTGTGCGTGATTGTTGCTTGGATAGCTGGGATTGACATGGATCTGAACTTCAACACAGTGGAGACAGGGTGCCTTGCCGTTGCAATCATTACCACAGCCTTCACTTTACAGGTATTATTAACGACATTATTAATCAAAGAGAAGAAAACAAAAGAACTGACATTCCCTCCCTGTAGGCCCTTCAAATAATTTCACTGAAATCAGTCCTCACTGGACCAATAATTGACTCGATCGAGCTCTAATAAAACAATTACTTATTCTGATGTGAAAATTATTGACTTGATTTCAGGATGGGACCTCCAATTACTTGAAAGGTTTGATCTTGCTGCTCTGCTACGTCGTTATCGGAGCTTGCTTTTTTGTCACCACCACACCTCTAAGTAAGATCATATTATATAGTTATTTGACGAATTTTTCTCCATCTTTGATTTCGGGGTAAATGATCATAAGCACACGTTGTCAAAATCTGGTGCAGACCAAGGGAATCCCATGAAGGGTTCGGTAGTGAATTTGGGAACCAGCGGCAGTTTGGCAGCTTAATTTGCATTCTGGTGTTGATGTTAGAAGCTGATTACGCCGGCGGAAACAGATAGATAAATATGTATTCTTTTATTGCCGATCGATCTGTAGCTAGCTCGAGTCGGTCGGTTTGTGTTGTTCTGTCTGAAAGCTGCTACACCGCTCAAGAAAAATATGTACGGGTGGCTTGGTGAGGACGGACGAAAGCAAATCGATCTCTACCACTGTCCCGAACGGAATATAATACTGGGAACGAGATTGAGAACCATCCGTCTCTGCTGCTGCCGCGACCATGGCCAATCGTTTGGTTGTTGTTTTTGGTTCTTCTCTCCCTTTTACTTGATATCCTGTCTGTTGTACTTGTATCTATATTTTCATTTTGTCAATAAATGGAAATCAGAATGTCCACGTTCTTTCGTATTCCTCCCTTCCATTAATGGTACCATTAAATTTTGAGAATGGGTGAAGCTATATCACTTAACTAAGAACATCGAGTATCACTAGATTCTATTAAATATGCATCCGATATCAATTAAGTTTACTGCTATATACATTTCGTTAAAATTGACAAAATATTCGTAGAGTATATCGTTTTCTAAATTTCATAATTGGTCTTTCAAATATTCTTATTGTAACAAAATCATTTGGACTTATGAAAAACATCATTTGTTATTTTTTAGTCGGATTCAAATAATTTAATAATTTGCTAAAACAAATATATCGAATGAATTCTATTTCGATATAAATAATTTGAGGATGTTAGATTAAGTTCTCTTACATAATGTTGATGTTGTCTAATTTTCCATGTTAAATATCGTGTTAATTCTCTAATATTATATTGTAGATGTTCCATATTAGTTAAATTTACTAATCTTAATTCTCTTCCTATATTAATATTTTCTTTTCTACATTTGTTATTGAATGTTGTAGCTTTTATAGTTTATTTATGACTTGGTTACTTACCGTCTCTTTCCGTTCTATTTTTTTTTCAATTACTGGAATATGTTTAATTCTTTTTTATTGTGTTTCATTCATCCTTATTTGATCTTGATGTATTGATCCTCGATTAAGTTCTATTTTAAATGTTCTAATGGTGCTTCTAATTGAATTAGAGGTTTAAATAGATCTTCTAATATTAAATTTAAATATTTTTTATTATTTTCTAGTATATTTATTATTCTTCTTGATATTCATTTATCTATTTTATTGAAATGATTTGATTAGCCATTCTAGTAATATTATGTTTATAAGGTTTTCTAATTTTTATACTAGATAAAACTTGTTGAAATATAGTTTTGAGCTTTGGGTACCAAAAAGATATTAAAAGTTTGGGTTGGATGGAAAACTAGACGGATGCACATTTTAGCGACTTTAATGGTACCCAACACCCTATTCAGAGTAAAGTAATATGTCTACCCTAAATATTCGTTTTAGAATGAATATCAATCGTAGGGGGAGTTAGCTTAGGAAAGGTTGTTTTATGTCATGTTTGGGATTGATTTGGTAGGATTCGTGAAGTGTCAGTCATAGAGTCTGCAGTGTTGATTTTCGTGTCGGAATGCCTTAAGTATCAGTGTCGGAATGTCTTAAGTGTCAGTTTTGATTATCTAATAAAAACTCCCTCGCCACGGTTTTTGAGTTCGAACTAGTTTGTCAAAACCTTTTGGAGCAGTCTGCTTGTAATAGTGTGTTAAGGTGTGTGCAGGAACTACATCTGCAGGGAACATTGACTGGCTTAGGGGAGAATGTTGTAAGCAAGCCAGTCATTAATCACACATCAGGAAAGGGAAGCAGTGGTCATCACGATTCTGAATTAGGAAAGAATCATCGGTTGCAAGGGTGGCAGATTCGGTACAACAGAAGGATCATCTCAAGCAAGCAAAGTAGGAAGGAATTCAAATAAAGGAGACTTACCTTGCTTAAGGATCAACGACTAGCTTCTCATGAGTATAAAAAGCACACTCGAAATCAAAGAAGGCGAGTTTTTCCGAGAGATCAAATCATTCAGAGAGTGCTAAGGAAATTGCATGTGTGATTGATAGGAAAAACATTCTAACACATATTTAGGGGATGAATTAGTGTTAGGGGAGTGTGTTGGAGAACACAGTAGCTGGATAGCTGGTTAGTCGATAGACAAGAAATCGATCAATCATCCAGGAGTGGATTGATTGATCTTGAGAGTGTAACTCTGTTCGAAGCTTCACATTTTCATACTTAGTGAAATGTCGGAAATCACAGCACAGTGATCCTTCGGCAGTGGAATAGTCAGTATTGGGATCATATTTTCCCCAATACTTGAAACCACGTAAAAAGTGCTTGTGTCTTGTTCAATTCTGCACTTAAATTCCAGTTGCGTGGTTCATACTCTGTTCTTGCAGGGTATGGTTGTTTATTCAAGTGCAGGGAACTCGAGTCAGAGAAGAAATACGAAGAAGCAGTAGTGTATAAGTGAAACTCACCGGTTTGACAAGTCTCCATTGCAAACAAAGGCTCTAGTGGGCTGTGGACCGGTAAAGAAAGAGGAGTGGGCCTGATTTGTTAAGCCCAAACTATTTAGTAAATCGTTCTTTAAAAACTACTTCACATTATTTGTTTCCTTTCATTTAAGATCAAATCAAGTTTTATATTTCCATTCTCATTTGATCTTGCCAAAAGATCGATTTAGGGTTTGCAGGTTTAGATTGAGTTGAGAAAAGGAGCAGGCATCTCACGCTGGACGCCACCAACACGTGGTATCAGAGCTCGGTATCCGATTGTGTAGGTTTAACGACCTTCGGTGAAATCCAGGATGGCGTCAGGGTCTTCTAGCGCTGCTCCGCTATATCTTGCTGACGGGTTCTCACAAAATCGTCCACTACGATTTGAAGGAGTTATCTATGGTTACTAGAAGAATCGTAAGAAGTTGTTTGTAGGATCTACAGATCCAAAGCTGTGGGCAAGGGTAATCAAAGGGCCACACGAGCTCAAAGAGGATCAAGAGAAATGGACTGATGAAGACTACGAGAAGTTTCAGCAAAATTGCAAGGTCACAAATCTGATGTACTGTGCCTTAGGACCAGAGGAGTATCATAAGGTCGCTGGTTGCAAGACGGCAAAGGAGATATGGGATAAACTTCAAGTAACTTAAGAAGGTACATCACAAGTCAAAACCTCCCGAATCAATTCGTTAAAACATCAATTTGAATTGTTCAAGATGGAGGAAGGGGAGACACTTCGACAAATGTATGAGAGGTTCAAAAATATAGTAAACAGTTTGGAAAATCTGGGGAAGTCTTACGAAAGTGGAGATCTGATTAGGAAGATACTTTGGAGTCTCCCTGAAAAATGGACTCCAAAGGTAATAGCAATTGAAGAAGCCAAGGATCTGGAGAAACTAGCTGTTGATTAACTCATCGGTTCTCTTGCCACTCACGAAGACAAGTTAAATAAACCTGGGCTAGAGAAGGATAGCAGTGACAAAGGAAAATGGGGGATTGCTTTTAAAGCAACAAATCTGATTGATGAGTCTGAAGAACTTGATGACATGGAAGATGAAGAACTTGCTCTTCTGAGCAAACAGATCAGTAGGCTTCTTAGGATTCGAAAAGAGAAAAGGTCCGGAGGACCCAAACCCAGAGAGTTTGAAAGGAATGAAGGAGCTATAAAATCTGGGCAATCAAAGACATTTACACGAGGGTGAAATGAGGTCAGCCAGAACTTCAAGAGAGTAAATACAACTGGATGTTTTAAATGTGGGAGAACAGGACATATCAAAGCTGAATGTCCTCAACTCAAGCGAGAAAAGGCATATGCAGCCACTTGGAGTGGTAGTGAAGACGAAGGATATGAGTATGATGAAGTAACAGTGCACAGATCGTTCATGGCAATTGCTGAGGAATAGGAAGAAGAAGAGGAGTCACCAAGGAGCTCTCCCTCGGAGGTAAGTATTCTTATATACATAAACAAGGAATTGATTATGATAGTGACGATGACATGTTGGTTGACACCATTAGGGAGATTCGGTTAGAATTTGGAAATGTCAAGGTAAAGTACTCAAATTTAAAGAAAGAAAATGAGTGTAATATAAAAAGAATAGCAGAACTTGAGAACATATTAGCCTTCAGTGAGTTAAGAGAAAGGAATCTTGAAGCTAGCCTGTTAGATACTATAAGGGAAAATGAGAAATTTCATCATGAATGCCAAAAGCTTAAGAAGCAAGTTCAAGGGTATCTAGTATAGTTAAAGACTCATGACATGGGTGAACGTCTTAAAGGAACCGAATGTTTCTATTGTCACAAACATGGTCATTTAATACGAGAATGTAAAAAGAGATTGTTGTTAGAAAGTAGGAAAGGTAAACTAAATGAGTGTGATTATTCTCAGAAAAGATACATCTGGAATAACTATCAATCAAGTAAGACCCAAGAAAGTCTGGGTTCGAAAAACAACATGACTTATGTATGTGCAGAGTTGTCTTCAAGTGAGCATGGAGACCTCTAAGTGGATCATGGATAGTGGATGCTCACATCATATGACAGGTAACAAGTATTTGTTTTCAAGTCTTGAGTTAGAGAGTTTTGGTAAAGTGTTCTTTTGGTGATAATAATTCTGCTGAAATCATAGGGAAAGGTCAAGTTGGGTCGTGTCCTTCCATAAAAAATGTAATGTTAGTCAGTGGGTTAAAACATAATCTAATGTAAATTAGTCAAATGTGTGGTAAGGAGTGTAGAGTCATCTTTGAACCAAACTGTTTTTATGTTGAAAATATTAAATCAAAACAAATTCTGTTTACTGGAAAACGGAATGGTAAGATCTATACTATTGATATTAACAATAAAGACAGTTTCAATGAAATCTGCAAGAAGACTGGCATAGATGTCTAGGGCATGTGAATGTCAGTACCCTATCTAAGTTAGCTCGTTTATGTCTGGTCATGGGTCTTCCTAGGTTGAATGAAAAACATGACTTCTTTTGTGATGCTTATGCGAAAGGAAAATAAACTAGGACTAGCTTCAAGAGTATCAGTCATCTCTACATCTAGACCATTGGAGCTTCTACATCTTGATCTGTTTGGACCTACTACTGTGGTAAGCTATGGGGGCAAATCGTATGCTTTTGTTATTGTTGATGATTCCTTTAGATTTACGTGGGTCTTATTTTTAGCTAAAATGGATGAAGCATTTGTGACCTTTAAGACCTTACTTAAACGAATTGAGAATGAAACTATGTCAAAAAGCATTCGAAGTGATCATGGAGGAGAATTTTCTTCTGATCCCTTTGAATTTTTTTGCAATGAGCTTGGAATTTTTCACAACTTCTCTGCACCTAGAACCCCACAACAAAATGGGGTCGTTGAGAGGAAAAATAGGACTTTGATCGATATTGCCCGCACCATGTTACATGACTATGGTATTCCAAAATACTTTTGGGCTGAGGCCATAAATACAGCCTGTTATGTTGTTCATAGAGCCTTAATCAGGTCAGGCTTAAACAAAACTCCCTATGAAATCTGGAAAGGTAGAAAACCTAATTTGGGATACTTTCGTACTTTTGGTTGCAAGTGCTTTGCACTGAATACTAAAGATAATCTTGGGAAATTCGAAGCAAAGTCAGATGAGGCTGTGTTTCTGGGGTATTCTAACTCGAGCAAGGCTTATAGAATATTCAATAAACGGACCCTCAAAGTTGAGGAGTCCATCAATGTGGTATTTGATGAAGCTATTATTAAGATTACAGATGTAACTGATGATGATGATTTTGGCCTTGAGAGACCATCAACAATGGTCTCAGATAAGAGACCAGAGAACCGACTTATGGAGGATAAGACTTCTGAAAACCAAGATCGAAATCAACTGGCTCAGAACTCAGAATGTAAAGAGAAGGGACATAATCTATCACAGTCAGAAATTGAAGCGGAAGCAATTTCAAAATCAACAGATCCTCAACCTCATGCACACATCATCAAGAGACATCCTCCTGCTCAAATAATTGGCTAGTCGACAAAGGTATGTTCACTAGGGGTGGTAACCGGTATTGCGGTTAACGGTTTAACCGATAACCGTACTGATAACCGCAGTTATCGGTTAAACCGATAACCGTCCCAAACGGCATTCGGAGGCGAGATGGTGGCAAACGGTATACCGAGGCATAAATTGTAAATTACCGCCTGCCATTCGGTATTCCGACACCGAATGGGAAAAGGCATACCAAACGTCGGCCCTCCTAAAACTAAAAGCCCTCAGGCCTTAACCTAGTAAATTAGTGATAGTAGTTGCTAATTAGTTAATCTTGCATCTTTCTCCCCTACCTACTGCAGCACGAGCACGCCGCCAATCCCTCCTCCGTTCATCGAATCCAAACGTTGCCAATAGAAACCAGAAGAATCTTCATCGTCTCCGTTGCCAGCGCACGCTCCACCTACGAGACTCGACCCAGCAGCCCAGTCCTGTTTCCATCGACCCCCTTTGCCGTTGCCTTGTTTCCGTCGAACCCAGTTGCCAACGGAGCTTAACGTTGCCCTGCTTGCGCCAGGCTCTTTTTCCGTCTACCGCCTTCATCGTTTCCCTACTTCTGTCGAACCCAGTAGCCTATCTCCTAGCTAGTTTGATTTAGTTCCAAGTTCTAATTGTAAAGATTAACTATTAAGAGATATTAGTTATTAGATATATCATATATGTTCTCTTGGAAAAAATGGCGAGTGGGAGTCGGAGATATATGCTTTCCCTCGACCCCACAGTCTGTACATAATAATGGGAAACTGGGAACTGCAATGCAGATGTATTTGTTTTTTGTCCACACTCCACAGATGACTCAGCACATGCGAAATTGGGAATTACAAGACAATTGACACGCCATCCGCAGGCAGCAGCAACTCCCACATTTCGGTAAACGGGTAACCGTCCCAAACACCGAGCATGACCAATTCGGGAAACGGTATACCGACCTGCGCTCGGTATCAGCAAACGGCTGTGGTAATGGGCGCTCCAATATACCGGTAACCGGTCAAACGGTAAACGGTTAACCGGTTACCGACCGTTTACCAGCCCTAATGTTCACTAGATCAAAGGTGCTACCTTCTCATACTGCGTTTGTGTCCTTGATTGAACCAAAGTCTGTTCAAGAAGCCCTTTTAGATGAATTTCGGACCTCTGCAATGTTTGATGAAATGCATCAGTTCGAAAGAGCGAATGTGTGGGAACCTGTTCCTAAACCTGAAAACAGAGTTATTATTGGCATGAAATGGATCTATAAAAATAAAACAGATGAAATAGGGGTAATAACTAGAAATGGGGCTAGGTTGGTAGCTCAAGGTTATAATCAGTAGGAGGGAATAGATTTTGATGAAACATTTGCTCCTGTGGCTCGTCTTGAAGGAGTTAGGATGTTGTGTGCTTTTGCAAGTTCAACTAAAATTAAACTCTACCAAATGGATGTCAAAAGTGCCATTTTGAATAGAGATTTGAAAGAGGAAGTTTATGTTGCTCAACCACCAGGTTTTGAAGATTAAAAAAATATCCAAATCACGTGTATAGATTAAAGAAGGCCTTGTATGGTTTAAAACAAGCTCCCAGAGCTTGGTACGATAAACTGAGTTCCCTACTTTTAGAGAATGGTTTTCAAAGAGGCTTAGTTGATAAAACTCTCTCCACTAAACAAGAGTCAGGTCATCTGCTGTTAGTCCAAGTGTATGTCGATGACATTATATTTGGGGGAACTAGTAAGGAGATGTGTTTAGAATTTGACAACCTTATGAAGACTAACTTTGAAATGAGTCTTATGGGTGAGTTAAATTACTTTCTGGGTTTACAGATAAAACAGATTCCGAAGGGCATCTTCATTTGTCAGTCTAAATACATTCAAAACATGCTGAAATGATTTGACCTTGGTAACTTAAAATCTGCTGTTACACCCATGGCTTCATCGTTAAAAATAGATAAAGATGAGTCCGGTAATATTGTTAATGAAAATTTGTATAGAGGGTTGATAGGATCTCTCTTGTATGTGACAGCTAGTAGACCAGACATTCTATTCAGTGTGTGTGTGTGTGTCTGTGCAAGATTTCAAAGTGCACCTAAGGAGAGTCATTTATCCGGAGTCAAATGGATTTTTAGATACTTGGCTCGCACTATTGAATTCGGACATTGGTATTCTTGTGAGTCCAATTTAGAGTTAGTTGGTTACTCTGATTCAGACTATACAAGCTGCATAGTTGATCGGAAAAGTACTTCTGGGACGTGTCACTATATGGGAACATCTTTGGTAGCTTTGTTCAGCAAGAAACAGAACTCTGTTGCCTTGTCAACTGCAGAAGCAGAATACATCGCAGCAGGTTGCTGTTGTACACAACTTTTGTGGATGAAATACCAACTTCTTGACTATGGTTTAGAATTTGGCTCTCTTCCTCTGCTCTGTGACAGTACTAGTGCGATAAACATGTCTAAGAACCTAGTCCAACATTCTAAAACCAAGCACATAGAGATTCGTTTTCACTTCATTAGAGAGTTGGTCCAAGAAGGAAAAATTCACCTTGAGTTTTTCCTACAGAATTTCAATGGACCGATATCTTCACAAAGCCCTTGGGCTCTGAATCCTTCATTAACATCTGCCAGGAATTAGGTCTATTCTCTCTAAATGACATCGTTGAACTCTCAACTCTGCCTTAAAATCTTCCTTAATTGAGAATCAAGGTTTCCTTTCTTGTCCTTCTTCCTTGATGCGTAGGACGCCTATTCCTTAGGCTCAAGTCTTTCCATATCCCTGTCCTTCTTTCCTTCTCTCGATCCTTGGCTGAGCTATAAAACCCTTAGGTTTGAGTCCTCCTCTTCATCATTCAAACTCTCTCTCATCTATAATTCTTTTTACATCCTATTGTGGTCATGGTTGGTCCCAATTAACATATGGCACCCTTGCGTTTGGCTCAAGCAGCTATTTTCAGTGGTAAAGGATTTGAGGATGCTGCAGCTTATGCTCGCTACCTTCTCAAGTTCCAAGATCGTCCGTTGTGCCCTTCCATCACCCTTTATCCTTCCAGGTTCAACAGGTATGAGATGGATATTCCGCGCCTGGTTAATATTGCATGGGGGGACATACTTCCTAATCGAAATTTTGGTTTTCGTCCTGAGGCGGTGCGAATGTTCTATGTGAACATGAAGCCCTGTTATCACATCTCTCCACCCTATTTCACAGCGATGTCTATAACTATATGATCACAATCAATGTTGAGTTGCTGTCTCTTTTGCTTGGAATTCCCATTACTGGTGTTGAAGTCATGAATGAGTCTGACTTCCAATCTGCTAAGTTCAATGAGGTTGAACCTCTGCTTCTGTATACTCGTGATACTGGTCGCTATTATCCCTCTGAGTTCCACTCTGGAAGACTTCCTGACGATCTCAAAGTTCAGCATTTCTACATTTCTCGGCTCTTTCTGCCTAGGTCCCATGGCCTACCCTCATCTTATGTTTGATCACATGCTGAACTACCATGATGAATACTATGATGGGGAGCTTCCCTTTGCCCCATATATCACTCAAATCGTGTTGGCCTTAGGTCTGGATTTGCGCTTTAAGGTGGCTCGTGTGGATTTGCTAAACTCTCTTTGTGCTCAGTTTTTCCTGCGTAAGGTTGATGCGTCTGTTGGTCGTCGTTGCCCTCTGGTCAATGCCCCAGGGGGAGAGGCAGCTGCTCATGCAGTTCCTTCACATGAGGATGGACTCAGCCTTCCAGATTTGTGCGAGGATGAAGCGGAAGAAGAACCAGATATAGCAGATCTGGTTGGAGCGGCCAGTGACAATGGTAAACGTCCAATGACACATTCCTTGGAGGCTATTCGAGTCATGTTCAGGCGGGAGGAGGAAGCAAGCAGCCGTGGGAATCTGATGATGGAGGATGAAGATGGTATCTCCGACTATGTTCCTTCACCAAAATATTCGTTTTAGAATGAATATCAATCGTAGGGGGAGTTAGCTTAGGAAAGGTTGTCTTATGTCATGTTCGGGATTGATTTGGTAGGATTCGTGAAGTGTCAGTCATAGAGTATGCAGTGTTGATTTTTGAATAAAGCTCTGTCTGTCTGAGCTCGTGTCTGAATGCCTTAAGTATTAGTGTCGGAATATCTTAAGTGTCAGTTTTGATTATCTAATAAAAACTCCGTCGCTAAGGTTTTTGAGTTCGAACTAGTTTGTCAAAACCTTTTGGAGCAGTCTGAATTAGGAAAGAATCATCGGTTGCAAGGGTGGCAGATTCGGTACAGCAGAAGGATCATCTCAAGCAAGCAAATTAGGAAGGAATTCAAATAAAGGAGACTTAACTTGCTTAAGGATCAACGACTAGCTTATCATGAGTATAAAGACCACAATCGAAATCAAAGAAGGCGAGTTTTTCCGAGAGATCAAATCATTCAGAGAGTGCTAAGGAAATTGCATGTGTGATTGATAGGAAAAACATTCTAACACATATTCAGGGGTGAATCAGTGTTAGGGGGAGTGTGTTGGAGAACACAGTAGCTGATAGCTGGTTAGTCGATGGACAGGAAATCGATCAATCGTCTAGGAGTGGATTGATTGATCTTGAGAGTGTAACTCTGTTCGAAGCTTCACATCTGCATACTTAGTGAAAAATTGGAAATCACAGCACAGTGATCCTCTGGCCGTGGAATAGTCAGTATTGGGATCGTATTTTTCCCAATACCGGAAACCACGTAAAAAGTGCTTGTGTCTTGTTCAATTCCGCACTTAAATTCCAGTCGCATCATTCATACTCTATTCTTGCAGGGTCTGGTTGTTTATTCAAGTGCAGGGAACTCAAGTCAGAGAAGAAATAAGAAGAAGCAGTAGTGTATAAGTGAAACTCACTGGTTTGACAAGTCTCCATTACAAACAAAGGCGCTAGTGGGCTGTGGACCGGTAAAGAAAGAGGAGTGGGCTAGATCTGTTAAGCCCAAGCTGTTTAGTAAATTGTTATTTAAAAACTACTTCACATTATTTTTTTCCTTTCATTTAAGATCAAATCCAGTTTTATATTTCCATTCTTTTTTTATCTTGTCAAAAGATCGATTTAGGGTTTGAAGGTTTAGATTGAGTTGAGAAAAGAAGCAGGCATCTCACGCTCGACGCCAGCAACACTAGAGGGGAATAAGATTCTTTAAGGAGAGGTAGTGAATTCTATCGGTTAGGACGCTTGCATGTGTCTTTGCATGTTTTCTTAATCTTATGTGTTTGCTTGTATTGCAAGAAAATAGTATACGTGAACAATTTCCCCAACAATCTTAAAGAATCTTATCTTTTGGTTATTGTTTCGTATACTGGTTGGTTAATAGAGAGGAACCCTCAGTTCCTGTATGTGTTTAACCAATAGTAATAGGTTTTTCACTTATGCTTGATTAATCAACATTCATGTACATGCATAATGTTAACTTCGGTCTTAACTAAAAAAAGAAATTTTGCTTCCTGTTTCTAACTTCTTAAATGGTGTGTAAATTCTGATTATATGTTGAATAGCAAAAGGGTGTAATTCTCGTTGAATTACTGGTTGTTTTCGGAAAGAAAATTGAATTAACCGAAGGCATTGATTCATGCACTAGTTATATGAGGAGTAGAGTATGGATGTATATATCTTTGTTTGTGTGTTTGGGATATACATATATACATATATGTTTGTTCTGCTTTGCCATTCCAAAGAGAGAAAGGAAGCTTGGCAAATTTTGGCATCGCTTGCTTTGTTCTGTGAATTAATTATTTGTACGAGTTGTCACCCTAAAGAATTACTTGCGCTCAGAATTCATTGGAAACTGGTAACATCTTTCCCTGTTTCTGGGTTTTCTTTAAGTGTGTGTATAGATGATATATATACTTGTGATAACAATCTGTCTTTGTCCCTGGATAAATGGTATCACCAATTTTATTAGTCTAATTGGAAAGGACTCGGTTATATAAGGATATATATACTTTAAGTAACTGCTGGCTTGTTCTCCCGGTTCTCAAATACTGAAGGGAGGAACTGACCATTGGAGTTGGTCAGTACGGGCGTAGTCCATGCCAATCCTCCATGCACGTGACATGTAGTTTCTACATGTATGCTTTCATGTGGAATTCTTGGATTAAATATTGTCAACGATTTTGTAAGTGTTTCAATTCCAAGTACTTGAAAAATACAACACGCTGATTCATGTTATCAAATTGTTTGTGTTGTGACCTTGTACTGATTTGAAACAAAATTGGTGCGAAGTGTTCCCGAGACATGGAGTTTGATCCATGCTTATGTATTTATGTAAATTATATGTTTACATAATGATAAATAATGTGGTCAAATTTCCTAAAATGTGATCAATCACCAAGTTTTTGATGCGTTCATCGCATTGGTCCAATTCATTTAAGTGGCATATGGATTGACATGTTCCAATTTATTTTGGGTACTTGTTCATCCACTGTGATGCATAAGAGTACAAGAGAATCTAGACCTCTTTATGCTAACATGTGCCACAAAAATTGTGAATAGATCAAAGTTCAAAGATAGCCCTTTGTGGACTATAATAAAGGTGTTTTGGATGGTTGTAAGCTATCCGGTTAAGGAAATGTGTATGAACAATCATAGGTGTGTAAAACCTATGGGATGAGGCTAGTGTGGACTTGTGAATCAAGTCTGCTAAGCCAGAATGGTTGCTAACATTATGTTCATAGTATGTTGGACATAGTTTGAAAGAGTATACCTCCAATCTGTTGAAGATGAAATTTGATTAATGCACGTACAAAGAATTGCATCACGAGATAGTCATAAGCGATAAGGAATTCTAATTCCTATAAGATGCTTGTTAAGACATGATAATTTGTTTATTATGTATGTGGTTTAGGACTTGATGTTTTCTATGCCATGAAGGCAAGGAAAATGAAGCTATGATTGATCCTTATAGGGATTTAATAAGCTTGCCAAATGATGTTCGTCATCAAGATAAGCATTAGGTAATAATTGTTTATGGTATAAGTACACTATACCATTGGAAAAAAAATTTGACTTACGATTATTGTGTGTAGCTATGTGTCAGAATTGTTTATGGTATATATAGACTTATACTATTGGAAAACAATTTGGCACGAGAGCTCAATTGAGGTGATAATATTGAACTTAAAGTCTACTTACTCATGGTATATTTATGAATTTTATAACATTGGAAAGTAATTAGACAATTGAATTATAAATTCGTTTGAATTACTTGTGGTATATCATGTTACATAGATGAAATGTCATTGGTAAGTAATTAGATGGGATTTCCATTACTGGAATGCATCTGAATTACTTATGACGTATCAAGTTGCCTTGATCAATACCATTGGTAAGTAATTAGATGTTATTTCTAATAAAATTTGAATTGCTTGTGGTATGTTAATCGAGTGAGATCACACCATTGGTAAACAATTAGATACATATAGTGGTTGGCAAGTTCAATAAGTAATACCATGGAAAATAAATGGACAGAATTGTGGGGGAGAAGAGCTAGTCGTTGTTTCGGCTACTATCTCAAGACCCTACAATGAGATGTAAACCTATCCATAAGACAAAAGTGGGAAGGTGAAACAAGTCATACTTCAAAGTATGAAGGTGTATAGTGAGAAAGAGCAAGTCTATAAACCGTGTGGAGTTAACCAAGTTCAAGGGTTAACTTATGAGTAAACTCAAGCATATATTGACAGTTATGTTAGAGAGCTAGTTTGAGAAATCCAAAGAATATTTCATAGAAATGTTGATCCACTCTTCCCGAAGGGTAAATAATGTCAACCATATACATGCAAGTATATGAACAACATTCCCCTAATCGGAAACGTTGGTTTCAACAACAATGGCGAAATAGTTGAAATGTGGGGGATATATTGGAAAGAAGTGGTGTGGAATGTCGCTTTTTTGGTTATTCCAGTTGAAGTGATACTTAGGAGTTTTGTGTAAACCCTAAGCTAAGTCGTAAATGTCACTACATTTAAAGAGATACTTGTGCAATTCAAGTACTCTAAGGTTAATGAAGTGGAGAGACTTCAACACCATTGTCATGTGTTAAGATTATTGCAAGGCAATAAAATCAAGTCAACCACACGTGATGTATAGTGAATCAAAAGAGACGAGTCTTTGGTGTATTTTACCCAAAGGAACTCATCGGGTGAACCAAAAGCCATAGTCCATTAATGGATAGGCATTTATGGTTAATGGGGAGCAGTATCTTGTAAAACGTCCAAGTTAAACTCTAAGACTGGTGAAGTTTGATAGTACGGCCCACAAAGACTGGTGTTAATAAAAACGCATTTGTGCACAAAGTTGTTATTGCAAGGGTTAGAAGTGTTATGTGAAAATCTCGTCATAGCTAATGAAAACATAACACTAGTTATTGGTTAATTTCTAGCGAAGTTATCGTAGATGATCGTTTTAGATCAAGTGATAACAAACGTGGGGGCCACCTAGAAATTAATTAAATCATCGAAGGGAATGGACTCGTTGCCTAGGACAAATCATCATGGCGGTAACTCTACCTAATTAGAATTGGCAGACCCAACCTCTAGGTTCAAGGAGCACACAAAGTTGTGAATGATGGTCCGCATTTTCAAATTATTTAATGTCCATTCTCATGATGAGACAATGTCTAACTATAAGGGTAAACATAAAAAATGTGAAAGGTTTTTAATGGTTTCTAAGTTTGACACGTGGTGTGATCAAATAGTGTATTTTCGGAATACATGGTCCATTATTTTGAAAAGGTCGCTTAGTGTTAATCTAGCATTTTCTATCTTGCCTTTTTGTTTATGTTTTGTGTTGTGTTGTGTTTACACACTCTTCGTCTTGAAGGGTGGTTTGTGTTTGTTTGATTTTGTTTTTGTTTTTGTGTTTTTGTTTATGTAGGTTGAATCATGGATCCCAATGGCTTCTACAACATGTAGGGGGTATCCACAACCACCCGAATGGGGGTACCCCAGAGCTTCATGCAGTAACCAAAAAGATGGAAGCCAAGGAACCGGGTTCTATGATCAACCTCCATTCTAGGAAGAATAAGCATACCATTGGGGATTTCAAGAAGCTCCCCCATATGAAGAAAACTTCCCTCCTTAAGTCGAGGAGAAATCCAAGTTGGAGTTGTCAATGGAAGCTTTCATGGGAAAATCATCACGACCATGTGCCACTCCACAACCGGAGCCAAAGAGCAAATTAGAGCTCATGGTGGAGCAATTTTCCCGGGGTACCGACGAAGGATGATCCAATTCTGATCTTCCCCATCGCCGGCCCTATCGACTCAACCTTTCTTCAGGAGGCGGAGGAGCTCTGTCGACGCACGAAGAGGCAAGGAGAGCTTGTTGAGCAAGCACATGTATGGCTTGCTCACAATCTCCTCCTACTATTGGAAGAAAGAGAGGAAGTCGAAGAGGCGAGCCATGAGAAATTTGAAAGAACGAGCTCCGACATGGATTTCCAACCACTCTCTCCTCTCGGTTTGACACTAGAAGAGAAAGTGGCGCGAGCTTGTGAAAGCTATCGCCTATCATTATTGGAGGAGAAAGAGGAGGTTGAAAGAGCGATCAATGACAACCGTGAGGAGCAAGAAGAACTCACCCCGGAGAGCTCCCATGGTGAGGATGAACAAGAAGGTTGCATTGATGACTCCCATCACTTTCCCCTTCTCAAAAGCAACATTTAAGACCAAGACACGAGTGTGGAGGAGCAAGAGAATCCCTTCCATGACCTTGTATTGCATTTTGCCCTCAAATTCGTGCTTTGAGACATGAATGGGATGGAGAAAGAAGAGGTTGAAGAGGAGGAAGAAAGCATTGAAGATGGGGAAGATCTTGAGTGTTCCCAAGGGGAGGAACAAAGTGAAGAAGGAAGGGAGGTTAAAGGGGCAGGTGGAGTCCAAAATGAGGATAAGGTCGAGGTGGATGAAGCATCCACAAGTTACGAGGGCTATGAAAGCTTTCCACCCGACCTCGACACGCTTGGGAAGGACCCATTTGTGGCTCTTTGCCAAGCCAAGGCCAAACCATCGGCAATCCCTCTTGGTGGATGCGATGGAAGTCAAGCGAGTTTTCACTACATGGTGTGGGACAAAGAGAAGAAAGAAGAAGGAAAGAAGAAGAGGTCTCGTGGGTGGAGCCTCAAAGCCACTCAAGTTCACGAGCCCTCAATCATGGATTCTTCCAATGCTCGTGACTTGAGATTTCACCTCACCGACGAGAACCTCAACTTCAAGGAGGTTCTTTGGTGGACCGAAACTTGAAGAGCAATCGTCTGATTCACGACGTTAAAGAAGCGCTTGGTGGGAGGCAACCCAACCATCAACGGTACACATGTCTTTTCCATTCAATAAGAAGACCATTGGAGAGATTTTGGTGGTGTTTTGCCGTCATCTTGCTCTTTCGGAGCTCACCTGCCCTCCGCTCCCGAGCACAAACATTCGCAACTTGACTGGTAACATCGTTCTATCCCCTTCTTTTCCGCCATTGAGGCCAATGTTGAGCTTAAGTGTGTGGGTGTGTGTGTGTGGGGGGGGGGGGTAGTCCATTATGCATGTGTGTGCGAATGTTTGGTGTGATTTTGAATGCTTGGAGCCTAGTTGTATGCCCGAATTTTCAAAATTTGAGGGCTCCAAGCATAACAACTTCTACATTTTCATGATCGTAGTGGCATCTTGTGGTGATGTGTTTTGAATCTCGTGATTATTAGCATTGTCTATGGATGATTTGCCTGAGATTATGTGCAACCTATGATGATGACTTAGACTTGTATTAGGTTTGTGCATAGGTTCATTTCTCATGTGTTTGTGAACCGATAGATGTTTTCAATCGATTACTTGCTTTTCACAGTTGCCAATGCATCGAGTTTAGGGAATTAGAACGAATGATTGAGCACCTAGGTAGCCACGTGAGACTTATTCCGTTCATTTCATTCTTGTGCGATAGTTCCCCCTTTACATGATGTGTAACATTCACGTTGTTGCTAGCGAGGAAGATGGAGGCATAGGTTTAGTCCACGAACCAAATATTGACCGACCCAATCATATCATCCCTTAGTCAACCCCTTTGAGCCATGTGTCTAAGGGTCGTTCTCGTGTTAGGTAGCTCCCTCTACTTGAGCTTGATTGATTTAGATAAAACGACCCTACTTTCTTCGTGTCTACACCATTATCGAGTCACCCTTGTGTTTGGAAGCTCCATTCATACCATTTGAGCTTAAATGAGGTTTCACATGAGTGATTTGTGTATGGTCTTGCTAAGAAGTGAAGTGAGTGTGGAGGTAGTTTTTCAAAGTGAGCATTGTTCCTTAAGACAGTATGCGTGATATGGTTTGGTGATTGGTTGTAGTTTGGAATAGTGGGAAGTGTTGTTTTTGGCCGATGCTAGTGGCCGTTGTTTGTAGGGAAGGTCCTAGTCGAAACTGATGTGGAACCTCATGTTTTGTTTGCCACCACCCAAAAATCCTTTTCCCCATGTCCTAGACCCTACCCAGTAATTTGAACCTATGTCTAAGACCTCCGTACAAACTAGCAACGACACCTATATTGTGAACTCTAACATTTAGAGGTTACCTTCATGATAAAGGGACGTTAGGATTGAGCATCAATATGCACATATTTTGCATCAAATGGTCCTGACCCCACTGGTCGAGAGTGAGTGATTCTTCATCATGTTTTGTTCATTTCTTTTACCCCGGGGAGGACTTAGGTTGCTCGATCGTTCGTTCCTATGATGTGATCTTCACTCATGAGTAACTATGATTGGTGAGTCATCCAGGGATGTTGTGTGTGGGTTCGTGAATAATGTGAGAACTCTTCTTTTGCACAATCTTAATACAGTTGAATGTCATTTGTGGTGGTTGTCAAGATTACTTTGTTTTTGTCCATAGGTCGATGTCAAATAACCATTGTGATTCATTCGTTTTGTGCCCTATGACATGCCTAAAAAATTTGTGTTGAAAAAGAAGTTGTAAGCTTACCTTGTTTTGTACTTGGTTTGCTTGGGGACAAGCAAACGTGTTTGGGAGTGATTCAAGCCCAAATGTACACATTTTACCCCTCATTTCTTATTCATTTAGCTTAGTATTTCATCGTTCCTCGACATATTTCACGCTAGGTTGTGCTTATTTTGATGCATTTCAGGTCCTAGCATGTGTGGAAGGGTCAAGGACAAATTTTGGGGAAATTGAAGTCAAAAAGTGCGAAGAACCGAAGAAAAGTCTGAACCGTGACAATTGCCCCATGGCAGTGAAGTGAAGGCGTCCCAGGAAACAGCCGCAGTTCACGGTCTCCTAAGACCGTGAACATGGACCACAAACCGTGAACGTCGAGCATTCCAGCGAGGTTCGTGAAGTTACTGACGACAAGGCAGTTCACAGTCTCTAAGACCGTGAACCCAGGCGAGTGAAGCGATGCGTTTTGGATGACGCTGAGTTCACAGATACGTTTAGGAGTTCACGGCCGTGAACTGGCCAACGCGTCCGTGAAATGGTCACTTTCAGGCAAATATGAAGACAACACGGGGAGAGAGAAAAGAGAGCTGTTTTTTGGGAGAAGAAACACTTTCTTTCTCTAGGGTTTCAACCTAAACACCAAAGGGGAGTTCTAGTTAGAGAGAGAGTGCTAGAGTGATCTTGGAGCATCATTGGAGGCTTGGGTGGAAGATTCAAGTCTAGAAGAAGAAGAAGAAGGTCTTGAGCTCAAATTTGTAATCCCCCCCCCCTCTCTCTCTCTCTAGAAACTCACTCTTTTCTCTTGGGTCTTGTAGATCCCTAACTAGTACTTTTTAATTACTTGTTTAGATTGAATGATTAAGTGTGTGTTTGCATCAATTTGAGTATTAGAGGTGTTTTCATGGTGATTGTGCATGCTCGTGCTTAGCAACCTAGGGGTTGTGGTTGTGCATGTTTTGTGCTTAACATCCTTAGGTTTGTGCATTTTGGTGCTTAGAAACCTAAGGATTGTGCATAATTGTGCTTAGCACCCTTAGGTTTGTTCATGTTGGTGCTAGCAATCTAATTAGCCACCTTAGCCTAGCTTAGAGAGGAAAATCCATCTTCCGTGGGAGACTCAATCAAGTTGGTTTTCCTTCCACTTTCTGAGCCACCTAAACTAGGTTAAGTTAGGGAAACCCTCAATCTTGAGTTAAGCAAATTGGTTAATCGCGATTTATCGTCCGACCTTAGAGTTGAGTGAGGGAGTAAGTCGATTACCGATTGTCTAAACCGAGAGGGTCGAGTGACACGACCTTTCATGCTTACCTCAGTTTAGCAATTGAGACTGTGGTCTCCGACTACGTACGCTTTCCTCTGCGGTTCGCGGTTACCAATTTGCATCTAGGTTGGTTGTGATTAAGTCGCTCAAACTCTGGTTTGAGGCAGAGACCTAGGCAACCACTAGTGACTGAGTGAGAGGATCGATCCCATGACAAATCGACCTCAAGTGAATCCATCCCGTGATAAATGGATCACTAGTTGCTCCTCCTAGTGGTTCCCTTAGATCTGGTGAGTGGACCGATCCTGACAAATCGATCGCTAGTGAATTGATGCCATGACAAATTCATCACTAGTTGCTCACCCCCGCAGTTCACAACCACCTACGCTTCACGACTTCATTCAATCCAACAAGTCATGGTAGCTAGTTAGGGGGAAGCAAATCCTGGGTGAAGCTCCCGTAGTTAGAATTTTCCTTCATTTACTTTTCCTTGCTAGTTTAGTTTGTACTTTTCTTAATTTTAAAACCCAAAACCATTTTGCTAGATGACAACTTAAGCGGTTGAAGTAGGGGTACATGGACCAGCCCTAGTCGATATTTAAATACTTGCTCTATACTGCACCCGACTAGAGTTTAAAAACTTGGGCTCTAGTCAGGATTAATTTGTGGTGTAGTTTCGTCCGAGTCAGAAATCACCTAGGTGAGTGTGAAGTAGAGCCGCTTCAAGGAGAATAAAAGAAGGCCAGTTCTCTAAGCACTCATGAGACCAGACGGTGTTCATGGCTAAAACAAACACAACAATGAGAACTAGTGAACGGATAAGAGTTAGTTGTGTGACATATGTTGTCGTAGTGTACAAGCAAAACCGACGATTCAAAGATATCACATCTACCGATTGGTGAGTATACTCGATATATGTTCACTAAGGAAGGTTCAAAGGGAAATCTACCTACCCTGATGCAACTAATTCTTAGTCGAGAATCACACGATTTTTTGCATAGTTTTTAAAGTACAACATTCCCATTCATGTGGGGGATTGTAGGGATTTTTAGTGGTGTGAATGGAAATGAAAGGGAAAAGATCCAAGAGAATCTCTTGAAGTACTATGTTGGTAAGATGTGGGAAGGCATGGCCTCGAATTCGATCGATTTGATGTAATATGTGGTTAATTGGTTTGTGTAACAAAATGAACCAAACCGAACCAATATGGCGGTTGGAATAATCAAATCGGTCCAACTTCCATGAGGCCGAACCAATGCAATGTTTGAAATTTTTTAAACGAACCAATGCAATGGTTGGGGTGTAACCACCCATACGAAGAGTTGCCTCCCTTCGTAAGCACTCCTTCATTTTCTACAAATAGCACCTAAACCCCTCTGGTTTTGACATGGATTTTTCCGGTACCAAAACTCAGCTAAAATCCAAAACTAGTTTTCTGCATTCTTTTCAAAGAGAAAATCGAGTCAAGTGTGGTACTCTCCGGTTGGTTGCGTTCGATGGGTTCCGGGGTTTGAGGTACCGCTACGCCGGAAAAGGTACGTTCTTTGTATCCTGGGAGGAATCATTCCATAACCTTGGGTACTAGAGGGGAATAAGATTTTTTAAGGAGAGATAGTGAATTCTATCGGTTAGGACGCTTGCATGTGTCTTTGCATGTTTTCTTAATCTTATGTGTTTGCTTGTTTTGCAAGAAAATAGTATACGTGAACAATTTCCCCAACATTCTTTTTGTGAACGTCTCTTGAAAGAAAGATAACAGACCGTTTGGTACCAAATAAATCGAGAATTCATTTCATTGTAAAATGAATTATCGTGTAGAATTCATTGTCAAATGAAATCTTGTGTTTGGTATCTCATATTCAAATCTTTATAAATAAAAGGAATTGTCATGTAGAATTCATTGTCAAATGAATTCTTGTGTTTGGTATGTCATATGTATAAGTAATTAGTTAATAAAAAGAATAATTATGTCATTCTATTAGAATTAGTAAATTCTTGTGGAATTCATTTGGAAATTCTATCTCAATTCCTCGGAATTGCTATAACTAGTTACAATTTCATTGAATTAAAAATTTAGAATTGGAAATGAATTCTTTTAAATACCAAAAATAAAACGTTTCATTTCAAAATGAATTTCTCAAAACTTATGGAATTCATTTATACCAAACAGTACGTAAGAGTGATTTGCTTGTTGAATTTGAAACATATGAATTTTGAAAAATCTTGAATTTATGTTGGATTTGATTTATTATGGATTTGAAAGAAAAAATTTTTTTTTTGCTTATTGAATTTCATGATAGATTTTCATGAATTGGATTTGTGGTATGAAACATTGTCATTATTTCTCTATTTTTTTTTCATAGACCAATTTCGACCGACAAATTGAACTCAATTCCTAATTAAAGTTGACCAACTTAATCTTTTCCCAACTTAGAAAGGGAAAAAATGGTAGAGTGAATTAAGTAATATTTAATAAAAATAAGAATTTGAAAATAATATTCGTCCATAGTTTCTATAAATTCCGAATCTTAAAAACATTTAAAGTCATAAGTTGTATGGGTTATTGGGTGTTAATTGGTAATATAAAAATAAAAGAGGGTACATGAGTCATTTGGCATCATGGATTTGTGCCACTTTTTTTAATCCCACCTCTTGACTAGTTTTTTTTGCAAATTTATAGGGTCAACAAATTTGATACCTTTAAAATTTTTCAACAAACCTGATTTTCTTTTCAAATCTATAACGGATATTGGATTTGCTACCCAAATCTATCACCACAATCCAAGAAGCAAACAATTCTAATCTCATGCATTCTTGAGAGGGAAAAACCAATCTGAACCATATATCTAAGGTTTAGGAGTCTTCTTAAACAAACTAAGTTGTTTTTGAAGAGCAAACTCAAAGCAGCCCACCACTCTTAATAAGACTCGTACTATTATGTTATTTATGTCAACATATCTCCCACAATATATTCGTATATTATAGTTTCACTCTTGTTGTAACTTTGAATTTGTTTAGAACAAGTTTTCGTCACATTTCATGCAATCAGAGTTTCAAATATGTAATTCACTTTGATCTTCTCCAACTCTCTCATTTCTTCTATATTCACCATGTTATGTCTCATGGATCTCTTCTTCTCCTTTTATGACTCTCCTTCCCAATTTCCAAATTTATGTAAAGCTGACTCCTAATGATACTTTATTTATAGTGTTTATTACTCTTTTATTTGATGCATTTCCATTCTATCAATGCATAATCAGTGTTTTTTAGTGTAAATACAATATAATAGCCAAAAATTTCCATTTTAAATAAAATAATAACCAAACATATTCGAAAACAATTTAATAACCAAATTGTTAACTTTCCGTCCAGTCAACAGTTAGTTGACTCTCATGTAGCAAACCTATTGCTGATTTGGATACTTTTTTTATTACGTGGCAAGAAAACTTGTCACATTAAAATTTATTAAAAAAACTAACCACCTAGATCTAGTAATCCGCCACCTGCTCCATACCTTTCCAATCCCCCTAGCACTGCCCCCAAATCCTCTACCTAAGCTTCCATCTTTTCCAATCCCACCATCTGCTCCGCCGCTCTACCATTCTCAATCCCCCACCGATTTCTCTATCCTTTACCTATCCCACCAGGCCATCACCCAGCCACAACCGCCATCTCCACCCCCACCTCCTAACCTGCCACTGTCGCCTAACCCTCTGTCCCCACCAGCTCCTCCACCAAACTCGCCCCCATCCCCGGCTTCACCGCCAATATCGCTGCCCTTACCAAACCCTTTCTTCTCCTCCTCCAAACCCGCCACCACAAGTTCCTCCACCAAACCTGCCCCCACTGTCATTACTGCCGTCCTTACCAAACTCTTTATTCTCCTCCTCGTATTCCCCACGCCTAGATTTTCCCAGTGATTTTCGGTTTAAGAACCCAAAAATCAAAAAAATTGACTCGCCTCTGAAGAACCCATCAACGCCTCAATATGCTATATAAACGCAGAAGAACCCATTGTCAGAGGTCATTGGAGGTTACCGTCGGCGGACTCCACCCAAAAACCCTTGTCACCGTCAATCCCTCAATTCCAAGCGGGGGATTTGGCCATCCAAGATTTCGATTCCAAATGAGGGAGGAGAAGTAGAAGAAGAAGTAAAAATCAGTATGAAAGGAAAATTGATATGGAGGTCGCCGCCAGAACTTCCTCAAGCTCATGGGCTCTAACAAAGATGGATTCTAACACCGGAAGCTCAAGTTATGGACCAGATGATAGTATTCAGACATGCCAAATGAAGTTCCAACGAGTTGAAATTTTGGGAGCAAGCACATGAGTCTAAGAGGAAGTTGACCAACAAAAATGGGCCGATTTGGTGATGACTTCCTCAACAAGATACTTCGTCCACAAGTTGAAGGAAACCGAATTCATCATGTCGGATAAGGAAGGATTTGGTTTACTTTAGGAGGAACAAACTAGAAAATTTCATTTTGTAATTAGTATAAATAGGAGACTAGACTAGAGTTCTTACATGCACCTCTTACCAGCACTCTGCACAAGCGGCACGAGAAGCAATCCATAGAGTGAGGAGGCAATACCCTGCTAGTAAAGATGTTAATGGGTAGGGTCCGGTGCGGGTATGCCTATACCAAATCCTTACCCGCCGTGTACGCCTTCGTAAAATACCCAAGTAAAATAACCGCCGGGTATTGAAATGAGATTACCATACCCTACCTATCGGGTATCCACGGGTATGCAGGTAACCACGGGTATGATTTCTGCAAAAGCACTTCCTTTGATTCTTCTCTTTTCTCTCACTAGAAACAAGCACTTGGAAGAGAAGGATTGTAAGGAAGAAGGAAGTAATGAGTGAGAGTTGCAATAAGAAAATTGCAGGGAAAAGGGCTGGAGACAAGAGAGACAAACTGGGCTCCATATGTTAGTCCCATTCATTTACAGTGTGCTCTCTAATTAGTTGGGCTTTGAGTTTGTCAATAAGGCCCATTATTTTGACCGAGATGTTGGCAATCTTCCATGTTAATCAACTCCTCATAATCGGTGATGGCCAAAGAATAGTTACGGGCGTGTACTAGCAATTACCGTACCCATATCCTACCCATTTATTTGAAACCGGGGATTACCCGTACCCGCCACTCAACCCGTCAAAGTTGGGTAATTACCTTCGTTGACTTGTTACGGTCGAGTAGGGTACCCATGGTTACAGATTTGATTGCCATCCTTACCTGCTAGAGCTCGACTAGGGAGCATCCACTATTGATGTCTCTATCAATGATGAAGTTGTTCTACTTCTCTATGCGTAGCTAATTTCCTAATTCGATCTATTTAGGATGTGAATACTATGATGCTTTATGTATTACTTTCAATGATGACGCCTATTCAGTTCAATGTCTTTATCATCCATGCTTGAGTTGATTTATGCATGTATTATCTATTGATCATTCATTCGATCCTTTATTTATCGTTTGCTTTAGTTGTTTTATGTGTGTGACTCTTATTCTATGCCATTATATCATCGTGTGCTTAGTATTTTCTAGGGTTTCAAGAAATTACCTTCTACTGACAACCCATTGATGTTAGGTGTGTATGGGAGGAGTAATAACCATCCATGCATTGACTAGTATCAATGCTCGATTATCATATGATCGATGCAATAGACCATCGATTATGGCCCGTAGAGGCCCCATAATTAATCATATGATATCCTAACTTCCTTGTTCTTCATTGATTGGGTGATGGAATGAAGCAAAAATACGCATTAGCTTGTCAAATTTCTATTGCAAAAGGCGCATGCATGGGTAGAGAGTGACCTTAGAGGAAGGGATAGAGTATCACAACAGATTATGCATAGAAGCATCTCATTATTGAGTTAGTATGCTTGATCATCTAGAATCATTACGTAAACATTAGTTTCATTGCTTGTTTTCTTGTTTGCATTGCATTGTTTGTTTCCTTTGATTAGTAGCTTAGTAAGCTTGAATAGGGCACCTCAACATATTTACTTTTCCTTGCATATTAATTCGAGCTCAATAGGTTATGTTTGAGTAGTTACTATCAAAAGACCTCATGGAATATGACCCCAGGACATTCAAGGATTTGATCGCTTGTTACTACATCAAGTTTTTGGGCTGAGAACATTTTATACTAATTGAAAGAAACTAACCCCTTGTGTTTGATTACTTTGGAAAACTATTTCCTCCTTGTTTATTTTTATTTTGTAAGAATCGTACTCAAGGGAAGCACTGCAAGGCATCCAAGGACGAGAATAGTTAAAGCATCACTTGGAGAAGGATGATTTTCTCATCTCTAGTCGAGTGGTTTCGGCCAAAAGCTCGAAGATCGAAGCAAGCAACATCCATCATCCTCCGCTACTTCCTTGTGAGCTAAGGATACGTGACGAATGGATGAGCAAGGACACGTATCTAGAAGAATTGAGGATACTAAAGAGGACGAGACTTTGCCCAACCTTGGATGACAAGAAGCAAGCTATCAAAGATATTGATGCAAGACACCAGATCAAGTCATATGAATCGTCCTTGACCTCTCCCCTCCGAGGTACAGTTAAGTGTCTGGAAAAAATGAGAGTGTATTCATCCAAAGGATCCCATGAGGATCACATACATTGTAGCGTCATAAAGTTTAGACCCATTAGGAGGGGTGTTGGAACAAGCACTATGCATGCTCATGTCTCATTCGCCCTCAATGACAGTCGAAGAGCGAGATATACTCATAATCTAGTCGAGTCCAGAAACGTCCGTGATTTTCATTTTGTGCAAACAAACGAGACCCCAGAGGAGCTTTCGTACCAATGAGAACTCGAGCCTTGATGAAAATATCCTCTGGCCAGGGTCCAAGAGCCTATTCTCACACCTAACCGGGCCACTAATTTCCAATGGACAGGATACAAGGTGAGGAAGAGGTACCAAATAATGGAATGGATACGTTTAATAATGAAGAGGAGATGCAGATAGCCCAAAACCCTGATAGTTTCTTCGTTAAGCCTTTTTTGTTCGGGCCAGTGTCCTAGGAGTCCGTATTGGAAATTTGGGGGAATAACTTTCCAGCCAGCCATCGTAGACTATGGCGCAGCATTACGCAATGGACCGGCGTGCAGAGGATCAGAGAGTAGTTGGGCGGAGCGGAGCTCAGGGCCTTTTGAGTTGACTTGAAAAACGAGGAAAACTTCTTCTCTCTATTTCTATTTGCCGCTGCTCTCTCTCCGTCTTATCCCCTCCGGTGCCCGAAAATTCAAATCGCCAAGGATGAGAGAAGAGAGAGCGGTTCTAACGTTTCGAAGCCTCCCAGAGCTGAATTCAGCGCAGTGTAGTAGTCCGAGGAACGACAGCGGGGCTTTATGGAAGAGCGCTCGGCTCAGTTGCAGTATTCTAGGATATGGTGGCGGCGGCGGTGGCGGGAGGAGGAATTCCGGCAATTTCGCTTCCCTTACGATGGTTGAGAAGGCTGAGAGGGCCGAATTCGCCCCGTCCTCTGCGCAGCTATTGAAACACCCGCTTGCTATGCTGGCTTACGTCCCGCGAGGCGCCGCTATTTTCATGGCTGGTGCTGTCGCCGGAGCCGCCGCCAAGACGGTGACTGCCCCGCTTGATCGAGTCAAGCTTCTCATGCAGGTGAAATTTAGTTACTTGCCACGATTTTACTTCTTATCAATGCTTCGACGGCATTTATGAAGTTATGTAGCGCTTCCCCTCTTCTTTTACCCCGTTGTTGTGACTGATAATCAATAATGCAACGTTTGCTGGCTTTATAGTCCGTTTGTTTATCGGTAAAGTGTCGGTGAATATTGGTTGCTGTTTGAACTTTCTATCGTCCTTAGCTAACTTTTGAGGCAGAAGAGTCCACCTTTTCGTTTATTTCTCTTCCTCATACTCCACGTTCTTGCTTGAATGACGATGGAATTTGGTTAGTTCGATCAAATTACTAATGGGTAAGGCCCGTTTACCTTTTGCTTTTACAGACACACGGTGTTCGGGTTGGGCAAGAAAGCGCTAAGAAGGCAATTGGTTTTGTTGAGGTATGTAATTGCGCCATGCCTGTTTTGATTTGTTGAGTAAAGAGTGCTGATGGTTTGCCCTTTAAAATTTGAACATTTATATCTTAATAATGACATTACGGAGTTTTCATTTACTTTGCAGGCTCTAGCAATGATAGGAAAAGAAGAAGGAATCAAAGGATATTGGAAGGGAAACCTCCCTCAGGTCCTTTTTATTTTATTATCTAAGAATTTGGTTCTCCAATTATGGTTATAGCACTAAGGGTCTATGGACCTAGGTTCTATTTCTGATGAATTTCATGCTTCAGGTTATTCGGATCATACCTTATAGCGCCGTCCAGCTTTTCAGCTACGAGTTTTACAAGGTAATGTTCACTTTCTTTACTCATTTCTATCAAGAAGAACATGCTAGAACCATTTGAAATTTACTTGGAGTAACTTCTTCGCATTACTAAATTTCACATTTTAAGTTTTGCAGAAACTTTTTAAAGGGAAAGATGATGAACTGTCTGTTATTGGAAGACTTGCAGCAGGTGCTTGTGCAGGCATGACTTCCACTTTTGTAAGTAGTTAGTATAGTGGAATGTAAAATATGTATCTTGGAACACAATCTACAAAGGGAACTCCATCAGTTTTCTGATAAAGTTGACCAAATGAGTCTGAATGGTCTTCTATTGCCTCTTTTTCCTGTCTAGGTGACATACCCTTTAGACGTGCTAAGGTTACGATTAGCTGTCGAAACAGGGCACCGGACAATGAGTGAGGTATGATTGGCGTTCCGCTCTCAAATTTCCATTCATGGTTACAAGACCTCTAATACTATTGTGGGAATTTCCTAATAATCCAGATTGCTCTAATTATGCTGCGAGAGGAAGGAGTTGCATCATTTTACTATGGTCTTGGGCCTTCACTTCTCGGCATCGCTCCATACATTGCAGTAAACTTTTGCATGTTTGACTTGTGAGTCACCACTTAATGCCCCCCTATTTCTGCTGTTTGAAATTCAACAGTGACAAAACACTGATGGTTTTAGAGATGGACCCTTCTTTTGCACGACAGAGTGAAGAAATCTTTGCCAGAGAAATATCAAAATAAGGCTCAGTCATCTGTAATAACAGCTGTGGTGTCTGCTGCTGTTGCCACACTCACGTGTTATCCCCTGGACACAGTGAGAAGACAGATGCAAATGCGGGGTGCACCTTATAAAACGTTTTTTGATGCCTTTCCAGGTAAAAAAAGGATTTAAGAGCTTTTCATAAATGATTGTGTTGTTCCAGCTTTAGAAGAAGTAAAGAATATATGTGTTTGATTAGGTTTCCGAAAAATGTATAGTTTTCTAGATATGAGATCATTTTTAGTAATAAAATTATAAATGATAGGATGACAGATTGTTTAATACAATAATAAAAAGAGATTGGGTTTTGCTAAGAGACTATCATGGGCTTGACTTTAGGAATGAAGTCGTTATCAACGGAGCTGGGGAACTAGTATTCTGAAAGTTGGATTGTAGAAGTGTATTTGTTTCGGCTTATAAGTTACAAGTCAACTTCTTTTAAGTTACTTGCTGAGCTGCATTTTCATTAAATTAAGTTCACTGTCCAGAATATGTGATGTTTGAGTCAAATTCATGCCGCGTTTAGCTTGATCCTTCTCATGTATTACCATCTCAAACTTTTTACGTGGCATTGTGCCTTCTATTGTAGATCTGAAATGAGTTTATTAACTTGGTCAGTCGTTCTATGCATCAAATCTAATGTTGCTCCGAAACTTGTATATCCAGGAATCGTGGAACGAGATGGATTTATCGGCTTGTACAGGGGATTTCTGCCCAATGCGTTGAAGAACCTACCGAACAGCAGGTGTTTTTCTTTTTTTTAATCCTCCACACACTGAAAGACACTCCGACTCTGACTTAGGAGTTCACTTCTTTCCCTGCATCTGGCCTCACCTTTTATATTTCTTGATATTTTTCTGTTGTAAATGCAGCATTAGGCTATCCACGTTCGACATAGTGAAACGCCTAATCTCAGCCGGTGAGAAAGAGCTCCAGCAAATAACGGACGAAAATCGTGCAAAACAGGGTTGAGCCGCGGCGGATGTCAGTAGACGCCCATGTATATCTTCACGGAATTCGGGTTTTCATGGTTGGCAAAAGGCAACCACGAGAGTAGCTTAAAGTGCAGGAAGAAACTATATATGATTTGGGCAGTCCGGTAGTAGTAGGTGAGAGCATTCTTCAGTAGTAGTTTTGGTATATGTCAGTGCCTCCTGTAATGTTATCTTGTAGTGAAATGATCTCATGTAGTGGTCATGACCATTCTTCGGCTTCCGGTGATAGTCCTGGTGCCCTGTTTTTTTCGCAAGAACCCTTTGATACCATTTCCCTTCTATTTATATCGCTATTTCGTATTAATGTGTAATTGAGGGAGGGAGTGGGTTTTCTTCACTGCTTTTTCATTCAACTGATTGTCTTCAAAGAATTTGGGAAAATATGGCCACAGGATTCACACTTGAATCTATGTGTATTCAACATGTGATAGAAACCCGACCAGCGGGTCGGGTGACCAGTGGCATAATTGTTATTTCATGTTCTCTAGAATTTCTATTTTAAAGGTTCAGCAACGAACTTTTGAAGGCAGGCAATAATAATCAAAGAATTCCCAAATCCCTAATCCCTCTTTCTCTCTAGTTCTTCCCCAATCTCTTGAATTCCTAATTTCTTCTCTTCCAATCCCTAATTCAGATTTCTAGTTTCTATCATCTGGTATCAGAGCCAGCATGAGCTCGTCACAGCTCTATGATTCTGAATGGACTCAACTACAGGAGCTGCTGCGCCAAACGTTGAACCGCCGAGAGCAGGAGGCTCGGCTGAGGGCAGCGAAGAAGGAAGGAGCGGGGACCGAGCCGCGGGAAGGAAAGGGCGCACCAGCGATGCCCTTGTCATCAGGGACGACCGCGCGCGGGGCTGAGGCGGGGCGCGACGGAGCTGAGGAGGACCGCGGCACGTTGCAGGAGGAGCTGCCCGTCGTCTCGCTGCACTCCGTGGCGGGGCAAGCTTCGCCGGGGACGCTGCGGTTCCGAGCAGCGGTGGAGGGCCGAACGACCATGACCCTGGTCGACAGTGGCGCATCCCTCAACTTCATCAGCATGGAGTTTGCAAAGACACTGAATCAAGAGCCTACGACAGTCAACTCGATCACCGTCAAAGTCGCCAACGGAGTACCCATGGGGTGCAAACAGGTGTGCCGAGGTATGACTCTCACTGTGCAAGGGTTAGACATCACGGCCGACTTGTATGTGCTGCCAATCAGGGGATTCGATGTGATCCTCGGGATACCATGGTTGAGAAGCTTGGGCCCGGTAATCAGTGATTGGAGAAGTTTGACCATGTGTTTCAAGTGGAGGGATAAGGAGTGGACCTTGCAGGGGCTCACGACGGCGATGAGACCCATCTCCATTCGGGAATGCGCGCCGGGATGGGAGGCCGAATTGGCCGTCCTCTGCTGGCCGCTGGCTGAGATGGCAAAGACAGAGATCAACGCCGAGCTGCAGGGGTTATTGGATCGGTACCCCGAGCTGTTCCAAAGCCCGACTACACTTCCTCCACATCGGGAGGTGGATCATCGGATTCAGCTAAAAGAGGGGGTGGAAGCAGTGAATGTCCGACCGTACCGCTATGGGCACTCACAGAAGGAAGAAATCGAGAGGCAGGTGTCTGAGATGTTGGAGGGCGGGTTGATCCGGCCGAGTACCAGTCCCTTCTCTTCACCAGTCTTGTTGGTCAAGAAAAAGGACGGAACTTGGAGGTTCTGTACCGACTATCGAGCTCTCAATGAAGCAACGGTGAAGGACAGGTTTCCCATTCCGACCGTAGATGACATGTTGGATGAGCTCCATGGGGCGGCCTACTTCATCAAGTTGGATTTGAGGGCTGGTTATCATCAGATCCGAATGCAGGAGGAGGACGCGCACAAGACTGCCTTCCGGACGCATAACAGGCATTATGAGTACCTAGTGATGCCGTTCGGGTTATGCAACGCCCCGTCCACATTTCAGGCAGCCATGAATGACATATTCCGACCTCTGCTGCGCCGGTATGTCCTGGTGTTTTTTGATGATATCCTGGTATATAGTCGGAGTTGGGAGGACCATATGCGTCATTTGCAGGCTGTGTTTGAGGTACTAAAGAAACACCAGTACTACATTAAAGCTTCTAAATGCGCGTTTGGGGTTCAAGAGGTGGAGTATTTGGGTCACATAGTGACGCCGCGAGGGGTACAGGTGGATCAGTCCAAGGTTCGAGCTATGGTGGAGTGGCCAGTGCCGACCACCGTCACAGAGTTGCGCGGGTTCTTGGGTTTGACAGGGTACTACAGAAAATTCGTGCAGGGGTACAGTATGATTGCAAGGCCACTGACGAACCTGCTGAAAAAGGAGGGTTTGAGTGGACCCCTGCGGCAGGTGCGGCCTTTCAGGATCTAAAGCGGGCCATGACCACAACCCCGACGTTGGCAATGCCAGACTTTTCCAAACCATTCGTGATCGAAGCCGATGCATCAGGGCGGGGAATCGGGGCAGTGCTATCTCAGGACCGACACCCGATCGCCTTCCTGAGTAGGACCCTAGCCCCGACCAAAGAGGCTTGGTCGACTTATAAGAAGGAGATGCAGGCCATCATCTCTGCAGTACAGGCATGGAAGCCTTATCTTCTGGGACACAAGTTCCACATATACATAGACCACCAGAGCCTGAAGCATCTCTTGAGCCAGAAGGTCTCGACACCAGATCAGCACAAGTGGGTCTCGAAGTTGCTGGGATACGATTATGAGATTCACTACCGGCCAGGCTCTACCAACGTCGTGGCCGACGGCCTGTCTCGGTGTCAGGGTGGGGAGATATTGGCGGCAGTGACCGGGCCTGTACCTCAGTTTTGGGATGAAATGAGGGCTCTCACAGAGACGGATCCGTACCTGCAGGAGTGTCGAGACATTGTAGTGAGTGAGGAGCCGGGAAACTACACATTCCGCGGGGGTCTGGTGTCCTTCAAAGGACGTCTAGTCCTTCCACCCGGATCCTCATTGGTCACTACTATCCTACAGGAGTTCCACGATGCGCCCTTCGGCGGACATTCTGGGGTCGAGCGGACCCTACGTCGGGTCAGGGCACACTTTTACTGGCTTAAGATGGCCCAGAAAGTTAAGGATTATGTGGCTTCCTGCGATACCTGTCAGAGGGTGAAGGTGTCGCAATTGCGACCGGCCGGGCTGATGCAGCCGTTACCAGTTCCGGAGCGGGTCTGGGAAGACATCAGCATGGATTTTATCGTGGGCTTGCCGCCCTTAGGAGGGAAGACGGTGATGTTCGTGGTGGTGGACCGGCTCACGAAGTATGCTCACTTCATGCCTCTAGCACATCCATACACGACGAGAGGAGTAGCTGAGCAGTTCGTGAGCGGAGTGGTGCGACACCATGGGTTTCCCCGGACGATTGTCAGTGAACGGGACCCTATCTTCCTTAGCCATTTCTGGCAGGAGGTGTACACCATGGCTCGTACAGCGCTGCGGATGAGCTCGGCGTACCATCCCCAGACGGACGGTCAGACAGAGGTGATTAACCGGCACCTGGAGCAGTATCTCCGTTGTTTCACACACCAGCAGTCGAGGAGTTGGTTGGCCATGGTTCCGTGGGCAGAGCTGTGGTATAACACCACGTACCATCAAGCTATCGGGACCACACCATTCGAGGCGCTGTACGGCAGGCCACCTCCATCTCTGGTGCGTTACCGGGACGGGAGTAGCTCGTTCGATGCGGTCGACAGGTGGCTCGGCGACAAGGATGAAGCCATAGCGCAGTTGAGGGCTAACTTGGCTGCAGCCAACAACCGGATGAAACAGTTAGCGGACTCGGGAAGGCGCGAGGAAGAGTTCGAGGTGGGGGACCTGGTGCCACTGCGGCTACATCCCTACAGGCAAGCGACAGTGTTCAGGCGGGCTTATCAGAAGCTTGCCGCGAGATACTTTGGACCATATGAGATTTTGCAGAAGGTCAACCCAGTGGCTTATCGACTGCAGCTTCCAGTAGATGCTCGCATCCATCCGACATTCCACATTTCCTTGTTGAAGCGCTATAAAGGTCCGGCGGATCGGGTGGAGACTACTGCACCTCCGGTTAGTGCAGACGGGGACTTAGAGCTGACACCCTTGCGGGTGATAGAGACGCGCTGGACCAAGAGGAAGGGCCGACTCATTGAAGAAAGTTTGGTCCAGTGGAGGCATGTCGAGCCCGAGGACGCGACCTGGGAGGAGACATCGACGGTGCGGGAGAAGTACCCCACGTTCGACCTTGAGGGCAAGGTCGGTTCTGAAGAGGAAGGGGATGATAGAAACCCGACCAGCGGGTTGGGTGAACGGGTCGGGTGACCAGTGGCATAATTGTTATTACATGTTCTCTAGAATTTCTATTTTAAAGGTTCAGCAACGTACTTTTGAAGGCAAGCAATAATAATCAAAGAATTCCCAAATCCCTAATCCCTCTTTCTCTCTAGTTCTTAGCCAATCTCTTGAATCCCTAATTTCTTTTCTTCCAATCCCTAATTCACATTTCTAGTTTCTATCAACATGACTCAACATTATCAAAGCAGTTAAAACCCAATGTTGAAAGATTTTTGGTTGAGTGTGGATTTTATCCGGGTCCTCTCTTCTTCTCCCTCTCTTCTTCTCCGTCTTTATGGGTCAAATCGGGGGACTTTCTGGAGGCCATTTTGAAGTCCGACAAAGGTCGGACCGGGTCCAACTAGGGGTTCGATAGTGATTTGACAACCTTGGTTTGAAGAAATAATGTATGGTTATATTCGTGGAACCATAGATACCCATGCACCTGTGGGGTACCTCAATGAGTATTTTACCAATTGATTTTATGGGTGCACATGCTGGGTTGAGTTTGAATTTAGAGACTATCCCTATATGCGACGATTTCAACATATATTTTAGGGTAAATATCCACCCCAACTTTTTTTTTTTGCCATAGAAATCCCATAAAGGACAGCAAGATACGTTATAATACAATGTACCTTTTCAGGTCAATCAAAATACAGAAGAAAGATAGGGACGATGGTTGACTAGAAGCTGATCCAACGATAAGAAAGCCTTTTTTGCCACGATTTGGGCAGTTCTGTTATACCTACGAGGCGCAAAATGAAACGAGACACGTTGAAACGAGGAGACCATTACAAGAATTTCTCTGAGGATGGCTCTCCCCAAAACGTGTGACGAATCTTTCCTTTTTACCATCCGAACAATCACCTGCGCATCACCACAAAACACAACATTAGAAAGAGAATGAGAAAGGCACCAATGAACAACGTCTTTGAGCGCCATGAGTTCCATTATGAAAGGATCTGTAATATGGCTATATAAACTTCCAAAAGCAAAATCCACATTCTCTCCTTTTGAATACCCAACAAATCCAATTGCCCCCTATCATTAGACGAAATTGGAGGTGGAACGCTAGAAGAGGACATCATAGATGCCTCACTAGACGTGTGTTGCCGGCGTAAACCAGAGGAAGCTTGTGCTAGCAAATTGTCTTCTTAAGGTACTAGTGTATTATGTGTATAGCCCGACCCGTTGGCCGGGTAGTCTTCGCATCATTATATCAATTGT